ACGTAACAGCACATCTATCCCCAACATAACAAACCCATAACACAGCGAGGGAGAACTAAGTTACATGAAACAATCCCAACTACATATTTTACACCACTCACAAGGGAAAAGTCACTACTCACGGAGTGTAAGGCTAGCTTTCCGCTACTTCTCTTTCAAGGTAGTGATGAAACGCGTTCTGTAGCACTGTGTGTTCGTGTTCGGCTACGGTAGGAATATGACGTCACAACATGGCGACCTTCATAGAAGGGGATTCCCTTGGTTATGGAGCTATTAATGTCTCATTCTAAGGTAATAAAAACATTACGGTTAATTAAGTAAGTTCTTTATACACCACTGAAAACATAGTTATGGATGTCATATTGCATTTCTGTTAATAGATACTCAACTTTGTTACACATTGCACCTTTAAGTGAATGTATTATATGAATTATGAGTGTCCACGATAATGATAATTTTGTATGCTAACTATTTTTTTTAGTTCCTGTGTCAAATGTCTTCGATGTCTTCGTTAGTTTTTGATCATATTTTTTTTTTTTTTTTTGGGGGGGGGGGGGTCATATTTTAGTCACATTTAGTCATATTGCACAATAATGGTTGTAATGGAATGTAATCATGGATATTTTGCTCAAAATTATAAATTGCTATAATTAATCATGATTGTTGTCATTTGAGAAAATGCTGCTTGTGCCATCAAACTAACAGGTCATTTGGAATGTAAAAAAAAATAAAAAATAAAAAACAATTAATAATATTTAGTCTCCTATTTTTTATTTTTAAGAGAGATTTTGGTAACATTTTTATTTTTTAAACTACATATTTGTCACATCCATTTCATCAACAATCAAAATAAAATAAAATATTAATAAGGTTTGTTATTTAAAAAAATAAAAGATTAACTACAGTACTTCATGTGTCATTCCTTTTTAATAATTTAATATTTTATCCGACTTTGACTTTATTACATGATATTAGAACAGTTAACATCCTGATTACTAAATTAATTTTGAATAAATGAATAGTTAGTATACTGTAAACACAGCATTATGTCATTGACTATTACCTTAAACCATGCCTGCTTGCTTGGGGAGGTACAGTACAAATGTTCATTGATGATTGTCCTTGTTATCATCTCTGTAGGGCACCAGTTGCACACAAATCACCACTATAATTTACTCCTCAGGGGACAAATGCACATCTACCGCATGCGGTCCTGCTGAAATCTGCCGTCTCAGAAATAGAGTAAGGTGACCGTGCACATGACACATAAAATGCCTGTGTGTGCAAAAACTAGTACATGCACTGCACCTGATTATGCAGAGAATCAGCCAGATGTGAAGAAAATGCCTCATATAACCTTGCAAGAGAGACACACACGCTATAAGGTATAACTAACCATAATCGGGCACTATAGCTGCCAAAGTAGACTGAGAGGAGAAGTATGCAGGCTGTTACTCACCCTTCACAGGGATCATGACTGCATACGTCTCTCAGAGGTGTCGGAGCCCTGCCGTGTGTCACTGCTGCAGTCCCGCTGCACGCCTCCATGATACTGAGTCACTGCAACAGCTGCCCGTCTGTGAGGGGAGGGACCAGACCGGACTTCGCTTTAAGACAAACCTCCAACCTTGGCAACGGATGAAGGCCTGTGGCATGCACATGTGTTATGCATGCAAGTACATTGTGAATATATTGATGTTTTTTATTACGAGTACCATACCAGCATCAAAGGCTATATTCATTGCAGTAAACAAATAAATAAATGTTATGTATGCATATTGTGAAATTATTTACTTTTTATATTTGGATGGATGGACGGGATGGGATAGATTTATTGGATGGATGGCTTCTTTCAACATTACAATAACAACAATAGCATTTTGCTGTTTAATGTTTGATAGACATTCTAAAAATGTTCCTAATTTATAAATATAACTATATAGTCAAACAGATAATGAATGCACTACATTTAATTTGAGTTCAAGCTAAAAATCAGTTGGTGACTGTGGACTTTGAATCTAAATGAACCTAAAGAAAATCAATAACAAAGACTGTATGTGCCATGTTTAGTGATGCATGAACGTGATGAATAGGATTCAAGACTTATATAAGCAAGGTTGCAATACGCTACTCCATCAATAATTCAAGTGTGAAGTATAAACAAAAGGAATGCTGGAATATTGAGCCACACCCACAGTGACAGTTGAACCACCTCAAAGAGAGAAACCTTGTGAAGACAGACATGCACATCATTTACGATCTGATCGAGTATAAGATAAGAAAACGACAAAATATTCCTCTCACACTCTGGCCCTACTGTCAAAAGTGCTGACAGGGAGAACCTTTATGTTGACTCAGCAGAATGAACCTTCCCTGACAAGAAAGCCAACTCCATAATGTGTATGCAGGCACCTGAGAGGGTTAACTTCACCTTCATAAGGACACAGTTTCTACGGTGATTTATCCAAACCCATTCACACTGAGTGTATGGACACTTAAATAATAATTATTTCATTATTTTGAGCAGTAAGCTTAGGTTATTAGAGTATGTGTTGGCATTCATGTCAAAATGAGCAATTTTTTTTATATGTCTACTTTGAAATGCAACAGAGTACAAAGGAATCCAAATGTTCGAGACAACATTAAAAAAAATCTGGGATTCAAAACATATCCTAGATTAGATTTTTAAGTTATGTAAATATATCAGTATATCAAAAAGCAAAGGAGTGACATTCCAAATACTAAAATGTTTATATTTACATGTATAAGTTTGTGTAACCTCAAGTGCATATATATATATATATATATGAAGAGTTCAGATGCAAAAGCCTCTAAATGCAATTTGAAATTTTCTTCTTTAATGATGATTTTTGTCAAACTTGTATATTTAAGTTCAGTAATTTCACTTAAATAACAATTAATAGGTAATCATCATTGCAATTTAAGTGAATATATATATATATAATTCAAGTGAATATATATATACAGTGTATATATATATATATATAAACACAAACTTTTATGTTTGACAGCACTGATATGTAGGCTACAGTATAAGTGCTGTCAAATCATTTAATAGAAATATAAATATAACAGTTTGTGTTTATATAATATGATATAATATATAACTGAACCAAATCATGTTCAACTGCTCACTGAATACTGAATTCAGTGAGCAGTTGAACATGATTTAATACAACTTGAGGATGGGATTGTGTGAAAGCTGATGCACATTGATGTGGTTGCTAAGCGACAGATTGTCTTGAAATCCATCGGTCAGTCTTGGATCCTGAATATCTGATGAATATATAGCCTAAATGGGAATGTTTACAGACAGGAAATAATATCCATTCACACGAACGGTAGCCTGTGTGTTATTGTAACGTGACTATGGAGGAAAATAATTTGGTAATAATGTCTGGTAATAAATTGCGCACTGTTGTCATGGGCATCATGTGACATGACTCGTGTGTGTCTATGTTTCGTAACACAGGACTAAACAGTTTTAGGGTGCTTGTTCTCAACCAGGGGAAGTGAATAAAATTGAGGAACTTAACACGGCGCATATTAGACACAACGCACTGATACAATATCACAAAGAAATGTTTAAGTAGCCTATATACTCAGTCTTAGAACATTTACAAGTGCAAATGCTTCCTAAAAATCGCCAGCAAAAAGAGGAAAGATCAACACGAGCCACTCACCTGTCTGTGATTGTTTCAGCGTTACTCCCCCAAATGAGATCTAAGAGTTGAATCCCTCTATCCTTTAGTGTTAACGCGTGTGAAAAGGGGTCAAACAAAAGCATCCTTCATCGTGTGTGAATCAGTGTGGGGTCTGTGGGAGTGTGAGTGAATGAGCTTGGTCTCGGAAGGACAGATGAAAAGTTGTGTCTCACGCACCACCTGATAAACTGAGTGAGTGCGCGTGTATGGGGGCGTGGCCATGAGCAAGGTGGATATCAGTTGGGGGCGTGGCCATGAGCAAGGTGGATATCAGTTAGGTCAGGAGGGCTCACTGTTTGTCACGTGATTGAGAACATCCACCTGAGATTTGAACAACATGTAAAACCTTCAATTCATGAATACAATAAGTCTAAATACTTCCCTTAGGGAAAATGTTTTGTTTTCTGGCCCTAAAGTGTAATATGATCATTTTCTCCCCCATTGAATATTGATGAAATAATGATTTGAGTTCACATAAATAGTACATATATATATATATATATATATATATATATATATATATATATATATATTGTGAAACAATTTTAGACATTTACTGTTTTAACAGAATATGACATACGTGTATTCGCTCTCATGTCTTTTCAAATGGTGTCAGCCTTACAACTGTTTGGTTACAAACAATCTTCAAAATCTATTTGTGTTTAGCAGAAGAAAGAAACTCATAATAGCCTACGGTTTGGAACGATATGAAGGTGAATAGCCTAATGATACAAATTTTAATTTTTGGGTGAACTTAAATGAAACCAAACTATCATTGAGAACAGTTTGTGAAATATGCTGCATATGTCAGGTCAAATTTGATTCTTAGATTTAAAAAAAAAAAATGTCATAACTGGTTCATTATGACAAAAAAATGGCCAAAAGACAATAGAACTGAGCAAAGTCTGTCACAACTTCTTGAGAAATCATCATCGTCATGATAATTGTTAAGTCATCTGGCCAATGGCAAGGCGTTGGCCACTAGACCTATGCCAGTGGCACAGTGTGTTAGTCACTCACTTCAGGTAAATAGGTGTGTGACAGGGAGTTGATTTGGTTTAGGACTTTACACCTGGATGATTTTATACTGTATATGACGGCAGTATCAGTCATTGTGGCAGACTTTAGAAAAACACCTTCCCTCTAAGGGATTTTGCTTAAATGTAGAAACGTAACTTAAAATCAGCCATTCAGGTTTAACCTTATGCATTAGTGGCCTCTAGTGGTCACTTCAGGTACTAACAGTCAAAAGATCACTTACAGGAATAAAAACACTCTCATATATTTTTTTTTATTATATCAAAATACAAAAAAGTTTTACGGGGTTATTACATGGACCAAAGCGTTGAAAAATGTCAACCTAATAGAGCTTGCCAAAATGTGCATATCTGGGCATCTGGTGATGTAAACAATGCAAATTGAACGGCTCCAATACATAACTTCAGTTGGGCTGTTAAAAACAGCACACACTCACACACACATATTTAACACTCCATATGTTTCATTGACGTAACTCTCGAAGAACAATTCATTTGTCAGGATAGCATATTCTTTTTGATTTTGGGTCTTATTCTAGAGCAATAATAGCCTTCATGTAAAAAAAAAGTTTTATTAAAGCAATTGAATAAAAATAACAGTGGGATTTTCTTTATTCTCTAAAAATGTAATTCCTTACTGCAGGTTCCCTTTTAATATCAAGATGCAGAATCAAAGTGTCCAGCTGAGTTATTGTGGAGGTCAATGTCATACTTCAGAAGTTGGTAGTACAGATCCAATACATCTTTAACATTTACTCCTAGCAGCATGAAGACACACCAGGCACCATATCTTAACATCTGAGCATGTGGAGACACCGAATGCCCATGAAACATACTACGAAGTAGGCCTACTAATCAAAAGACGAGAAGATAGAGGCACACTGCACCTTGTTTTATAATCAGAGTTGTAGCAATTTGTTGGAGAATTCCTTAGCAGTGGCAGAAGAATCAAACAATACATCATAATAATATTGTACATAAGGCTTTGGTACAGCACCATACTGTTTTAAGAATAATACCTGAAATAAATGAGATTACTTAACAAAAGAAGCCTCGACCAAGTCATTCAATCAGTCAATCAAATAAATCTGTCAATTTATCTTTTTTTTTTTTTCTTAACATAAGAACAGTCTCTTATACATTTGCATGTAGGGTATAATTGGGATGAAAAACATGTTTGCCCAGAACACATCTTCAGATAATATAATCTCTAAACAATGTACAACACAAATTCAAAAGCAGTTAAAAAGCACAAAAATGCAATTTGAAATGCTTCCAATAAGCTCTAAGTATGAGGTTTAATGTTAAAACAGTCATAAATTAGTGCATAATGCAGTATTACATTCTAAGTTTTCAGTGCTGGTTAATATGAACAGCAAAAGAATCAAGAACAAAAAGATGTACATTATCTGAAACGAGACAGACAGATCCGAACGAGTGAAATATCTTGATTAGGCCTATCAGGTTAGTTCTGTTCAATAAAAAAAAGGGAAATAAAGTTTCACAAAGCACCATAAGAAGTAAGCACAAAACTGAATACAGGCAATCAAAGAGTTGATATGACACTTTCTGCAAATGAGCCCTCTTCCAGAAGCAAAAGGAGGCGTGTGTCTACCTGTACAGTAGGTCATATTCAACAAGAGAAACGTTTCAGTCGGGTCCTCCCAACAAAGACCACAGAGGAGCTGAATAAAATGCCGTCAATCACCATCCACAGATATACAGCGACACTGCACCCACATCTTAAATCAGCGTGGCAGCTTTATTTGAGGATGCATCGCTCCACCGTGTCCATGAAAAACACTATAAAACAGAAATGTCGCCGCTTGACGCATCTGACCTCCACCTGCTCGAGTGACCAGGTATTTCCATGCTAAATGAAAAATTTACTATCATACCGTGGGTACATTTCATGGATTATACATTTGATAAGTTGCCTCCACAAGACTGGCAAATTCATCTTTATAAACCCTTCTAAATAGGAAGGTTTTTATTCACGGCGACGGCGAACGTTCACGCGATGACGTAAGCACATAGTGAATGTCAAAACCGATCTTTATTGAACACCTTTAACGGTTTCCATACTAAAAGATAGTGAGCGCACAGGACCTGCCCTGTGAGAGAGAGGTTTTATTGCTTGCGGCCCTACTCACCACGACGGAAATCACGACGGAGCTAGTTTAAGTTAAAGACAGAGGACTGTGCGTGAGTTTGTGTGTTAACCTCTGAACCACAGCACCACGAGTTCAAAAAGACATAGCACCAAGTCATAATGTGTACAATGTGCCTACATCCTTGCACGTTATATTTCTAGATCATGTAAACATTATGTGGTTGTTGTAGGACTTATTAGCAATGAGTTATTGACGGAACTTGACAAAACACGTAGCGAAAAAACAGTTAAGTCTAACTTTAACACTTTTCTCCCGACAGCTAAAAGGCAGGTATTCAAGAATAACTAAAAAATGAACACTGCCCTCTCCTCTCAGAGACTACACGATTAAAGCAGCCTTATGAATTGCACCACATGGAAAAGCTTTCACTGTAAAAAAAGAAAAAAGTTGCTGCCTTAAATATTTTAAGTACAATCAACTTAGATGTTTAAGTCACTTCAACTTAATTTACATAAAAAAAGTGAGTTGAATCTCGTGAAAAGTTGAACATTTCTTAACTTATTTTGAGGAGTTAAAGCAATGTAAAAACAGGATGAATTCAGGTTGATTGGGACAATTTTTCAGAGGCATCTCAATGGCAAAAGTGTCCCAATCACCCTGAACTTTACCCCATATGTTGCCATAACTTATTGATCATATCATTTTTTACAGTGTAGTAAAGATGAAGACATACATAGAAATAAGCAACAGAATATAATACTGAATAGCTCAAACATACATCACTGCAGATGTTTGAGCATTCGTTGTCATGTCGAGTAAAATAGTTGTATAAAAAGAAAGATAAAGAAAAGACAAAGTAAACCCTTTGGGCACTTAAGTCAAATCTTCTAAACTCAAAAAGGCTACTACGAATCTCTATACAAAGAAATTCATCCCAGCGTTTCCTGCTTGTATATTCAGCCTTATTCAAGTACTGCATGAAATTTCATTCAATTTCCTCATTATTCAATTCCATTCACAGAAGAAGATTCATTTTGGAGTAATCGCATCGGTGCGTAAACGAGCTAAAAGAGAGAAAACATCACATTGAAAATATTCAGATAAATCTGATCTTCTAAGAGCAAATCATACATTCACCATCGGTTAAACTAAACTAGCATATGCTCAATTAGCTTTCACTGTACTGTAGGTAGCAAATCAGCAGCTGTTAGTGAACTCTAGAGACAATAAACATCCTTCTAAACTCATCATTAATTCAAATAACACAAACTTTGCCATGTCATCAGGTGAGTCGTGATGGATGACAGATAGTAAAGATTACAATACAATTACTGAAATTGATTTCAAAAAGAGTCAAGCTACTTTTGGAGGTTCACTTTTGTAGGTAGAAAGTAACCCAAGAACATCTTTTTCTTTTTTTTTCTTCCACTGATCAGAGTAAGGACTATTTCACTTCTCTATTTTATATTGATGTCTTCATTAATCTGCACAATATCTACTGCACTTCCTTTTTTTTTGTACTGTGTCCAAAGCAACATATAACAAATTATTTACTTCAAGGAAGTGACGTGAAGATTAATAATGCATTTCACCACTTCTAACTACATTTGTGCAAGACAAGGACCAAGTATTGTACTTCAGTTTAAATATTACATTTCCACTTATGTCATCTGAACATGTCAAAAAGCATATTTCTAAATGTACCTGAATATATATTTTTTTTAGCAGGGGGCTATTATTAATCTACCTCCAACCACAGATAAAAAGTGCTTTAAAGCTGTCCAATTTTTTTCCCCAAAAAAAATAATGTAAATTATTCAAAAAATAAATAAGAAAGCATGTTTTCAGTTTCACTTGCCTTTGCATGGAATAAAAAAGTGTGAATATCTGTTTAAATATTGAAGCAGGACAAGTCTAGTACTGCAGCCATTCTTTTCAAGCTTACAATTTCGATGATATTCTGTGCTTTATATTTTATGTTAAATGTTATAAACCAATTTAAAAGAGTTTACATTAATCCCTCATGTTCTGTCAAGCTTTGCCACAAACAGACAACATACAGTATGTCATCCAAAACGAATTATGCTAGCTTGCACAAAATATGGTAGAAGTGCTGAAATATGTTCCAGATTATTTATTTTTCTCTCTTTTGAGGTATATTTTGTAGAAGGATGAAAAGAAACCCTGTAGTAACTATCACGTCTTGAGAGACATATTTGTACAGAGCATTTAACTCTCTATCCTTTACAATATACACAGTTCTGACGACGTTATGGCCAGCGATATTTTTCCTAGCATGTAATGGAATGCTAATTTTTCTTTTTATTATCAAAAGAAAAGCTTTTGTCCTGTCCAGTTTTCTGTTTCTTCTAAAAGAGCACCCCTGTATGTTTTTCCTTAGTGTAAATTTACAGAAAATACAGATATGTGTAGTATATTGTGCCAACCGAAGAACATAATAAATTGTATCTAGTTTAGACTGATTACAAAACAGTACTGAGAGCTTGTCCATTATACGTTTTTTTTTGCTAACGGACAAGAAGACGATCCGCCCCACAGGATAAGTTTTAGTGAGTTTTGGCGGGAGGGGGGCTCTCAGAGCAGAGAACCATAGTTTGAAGGGGCAGGGTCCATACTGGCCAGCAGGGATTTTCTGTCTTCTCTGGGGTGAAGCCAGCGCAGCAGAGAGGACAGATGGAGACAAGGGGACTTTCTAAGTGTACTTTTCCACTTTTTCTTTGAGGGAGAGCTGAGATGTTCTCTTTGCTCAGAGGCCTGAGATGCATGCGGCTGCTGGGTCTGAGAGGTGGACACATCTGAAGACAGCAGAGCACATGAGACACAGCAACAGAAAAGATTTGTACATTTTCAGAAGAAAATGTGAGAGTTGCCTGCGCATGCAAACCTCGCCGCCACGATGTTAGGGCTGATAACATGTCCATTTCTCCCAGTGTGTAAAATACGGGTGAAACTGACCTGTCCTTTTCTTGAATCTGGAGTTGTTGTTCTTGTTGGCTGATGATTTCTTGGCTTTATTAATACAATAATATATCAGTGCTTCAAAGCTCTCAGACCCTGCAGGGACTCTCACTGCACCTAGATGCTCCCTGCGAGAGACAAACACAATTATGCATTACTTCACACCGCCACCAGGGTGCACTATGCTTTGACGAACTACGCCTGACCAAACTGAGATTTAGCCGTTGGCTGCCCAATGCCAAATGCGCTGTTAAAGCCTTCATGACAAAAGTACCATTCATCAACATCATGTACTGTGCAATTTAGCAATTGATCGACTTTTGGCGAATTGCAAGACAAGCTTTGTTAGATATTATTTCAAAAATACTGTTTATCATTGGACTTTTTTTGTCATCAGCATAAATATTAAATATCAAATCACATTTATTTTTTGAAAAACAAAAACTCTTCTTCATTAGATGGGTATCTGCAAATTAAAAGCACATTGTATTAGTTTAGTTAGTCTGGTGAGTTGAATTTAGCATTTCCCCACCCCCACTCATTTACTACAGAATACACCTAAATTAACATGAATGAACCTTTACCTCATGTTGTACACTGCTGCCATGCTGCCAGCACTGTCCAATCAAATTACAATTAGCCAAAATCTCCTGTTTCCTATTAAACTGACCACAGGGGTCACATTTCCTGTAAAGTGTTGTCTTTTATCGCACATGCCATCCCTCTATCATGGCAGAGATCATGACACTCAAACGTCCATACTGAAGAGTCAGGAAACAACTCATGGGTTCACAAGGCACAGAAACACATAGCGTTTACAGACAGTCTCCCCTGCTGCTGAGGCTGTGGAAAGAGAAAGTGAAAGTGATTAATAGAGGGGGAGGTAGACATGACTGAGCACTAAAGTTCGCCACATCAAACACACTCTGGTTACCATGAATACACTGTACAGTGGCTTCACCATGCTGACAGGAGAAGAGATGGCAGGGAGGGGAGAATGGCCAGTAAAGAACAGTCACATAAAAGAAAGGAACCAAACCACTAGGACGACAAAATGTGATAAGAAATTTTAGTTTGAGAACTGCTGTTACTGATTCGGCATCGAGAAAGAGTATTTAGAAAAGGCATGCATGATATTTTTGTACATGGAAACAATTTTTTAAAGGGGAATATCCAAGAGTGCCTCTCAAAGGGCGCAAGTGCAACATGATCACAGAGATCATGACCAGAAAAAAAGACCAAAAATGGCATCATTTATATACCAGCAATAACCATTTTCAGGATATTTACCAAAAAAGATAGTGTATGATTGTTATCATGTAACAAAAAAAGTCATTCCCCTTTAAATGAGAATGATTTAAGATCCCCGCCTGCAAACCCCTCCCCTTTCAGACATGGATTCGACCCTTACCTATTGTGGTGTAGAGGACCTGGTCACAACAATGCTGCCCAGATAGCTGAGATCAATCAAAAACAGAGAGGGTAAGACTACCAGTGTCTCCAGAGAAATGCGCCGTCTCTACTCTATTATGAGGATGGGTGTTGCAAGAGATGAGAGCACACTCATCCCTGGCAACAAAGGCCGCCTAAGAAGGCCACCGTGATGGTCAAAGCCCTGAGTTAGAGGAAGTGAGAGAAATGGAAGGAAATGAGTTGGAGAGGGTGAGTGATGTGATCAGCCCACAAAAGAGGACAAAGAAGGAAGAGCCATGGGATCATCATGGATGCACTAGAAAATCCGTAACCATGAGAAATGTTAAACACTACAATCATTTCTTATTTCAAGATTACACTGTTTAAAGGTTAAAGGAAAAGAGTATTTGAAGAAAGTAAAAAATGAATGGAAATTTATCCTGTGAACCCAATAAGGAGTTATACTGGAGGACATGGACATTTGTGCATATGTAAATAGTTTACAGTAAGATGTACATGTAAAAATACTTTTATCAAAAAACGCAAAAGCATGGTAGCTTTGCTTTTGCGGCACAGATGATGAATAACAAACTCCTTTGTCATTTTGGAGCCTCCAATGGTACGGTTCACCTACCCTGGAGAGGGTTCTGAGGGGAGCATCTCCTCATCTGTCCTTCTCTGAGATGGCATCTGGCCGAAAGCATCACTGCTCTCCGTGGGGGGTGAAGGGGACTGGGAGGGGTAGCTGGCCGCGGCTGTGGCAAAGGCCATGTGGGCACGATAGCTGAGGCTGGCCCGCTGGCCACTCTGGCTTTGGGTAGGTGAAGTGGCAGGGGAAGAGGAGAGAGACCTTCGGGAAAAGGAGACACTGGCAGGGTGACGGGCACTCTCGGGCATCTCTTGAGAGCGGGAAGACCGCAGGATGCTGGGACGGGGAGGAGGGCGGACGAGAATGTCTGGAGAGCCGGCATGTGAGCTGGGAGGGGTCTGGGTCAGTGGGGAGAGTCGTGACGGCTGCAGGACCACCTGCTGCAGGCCGAGATCCATCCTTCGTGATGCCCTGGGGCTCAGCCAAGGCTGGGCCTCGGACCTCCAGCCGTCCGAGCTCTCACTGTGCAGTGTGCTTGGGCTCCCCATGCGAGCCGTGGCGCCTAGGTAAGGCAACACTGGTACGCCCATACCGTGGGCAGTGTGTCTCAACTGCCCCAGAGTCTGGGCCTGTTGCATAGTTAAATGCTTGACTGAAGGGCCCTGAGGCGGGAACCTGCCGGGAGATCTGCTCAGTTGGGCTCTAGGGGCCTCCAGCTGGAGGAAAGCAGAGCTTGAAGGGAGCTGAGAGGTGGTGCTAAGAGTGCGACTATGGGAGGGGTATGGCGGGGGCTCGGGGAGGTCCCGGTGGAGATATGAGGAATGACGTGGTGGAAGAGTGAGACGGGGACCCTCCTGACCCAGAAAGGGGAAGTCAGGAGGCTGCCAGATCTCGGTTGAGCGAGAGGAGGGAGGGCTATGCACCAGTGGGAGGGCGTGGCCGGAGGCACCGTACTGATGGATCCTCAGCTCCTCCCTCTCCTCTGGGATGGTGGGATGGCGAAACGGCCCCTCGGGGGGGTATGAAGGTGAGGAGGACATGGCAGAGCTACGTGGACTAACATCAGGCATGTAAAACGGAGGGTGAAGCTCCACCTCAGCACCACTACCTAGATAGCCATAGAAGGGGCCTGGAGGGAAGACCCTGTGAAAATGGGAGACCCGGCTCTGCCCTGTGGCCTGAAGCCGACTACCCTCCGAGATGCTCATACCTTCCATGGGTCTCTGGAACCGGGGGCTGTAGGCTGGGGGCTGCATGTAGGACTCCTGGCTGGAGGACACAGGGGATATCTGGGGCCTGAGGGTGGCCATGACTGGGGGTAGGGGCCCTGGGTCATCGTTCTCCTCATCTGATTGGCGGAACTCAGGATACAAGTCTGATTCCTCCACAAAGGGGAAACCCTCAATGCGTCTGGGCTTGAGGGACGTGTCGATGCCACTTGGGTCCATGATGAATCTTCCATCGGGTCCACGGCTGATCAGCTCGATGGGCGTGGTGACCTCAGACTCGTGCTTGGACACACTGTACTTCTTACTGGTTATTGCTCTCTTGGTTTTCTTATAGAGGGAAAGCTCTTTCTCTTTCCTGGGGCTTGGCAACTTCTTAACGTATAGACTGTGGCCACCCACGCTGGCCAGAGACGGGGGCCGGGAGGAAGCAATGCTCTCAGGACTGATCTTCCCAGAGGACAGCCTATCAATCAAAAAAGACATGGGGCTTAAGACTGAGCCCTGTGGAATACCGGAACTCAAAATCAGCACTATCAAAACAAAAATCGCTCCATATTTAGACTTATTTAGGAATATAATATATAATATAACATATTTAAGAATATAATCAAAAGGAAATGACATGATATTACACTTTCTATTGTATTTACTTAAAAAAAATAGCCTTTATCCAAGCAGCTGTTTTCATAATAGTGATTACATTACACATTGACCTTTATTTATTGGCCATCTTGTCTAATAAAACTGAAAGACGATGTCAGGATGAGACATAATGGAGAACAACAGAATGGGGACAGGACACAGAAACACGTACATTTATACAGGCACCAGTGGGCCAAGAAAATATCAGCTAAACTACATCTTCACCCAGCTCTTCAATAATTATCCATCTTCCTGACTTTAAATGGTCAAACAAGCGTCACAATTAGGAGCAGCTGTGGGCTGAAGTTGTCTATTCCCCCACAGAAGCATTTTAGCTCTGCACCACTAACTGAAAACATGCAGCTACAGCAGACAGGCGCATGATGTTAGCGCCTGCTGCGGAGAGAGATACAGGTGCAAGCACTCACTGAGGGCTGGTAGATGGGGGCCTGTAGCTGCTCCTGTCTGGCTCTTCCCAGTAGGGCTCAATGCCAGGCAAGGGGGTAAGAGGAGGCCTGCGGTGACAAAAACACAATAGAGACGGGGCAGAGTCGGCCGTCAACCAGACTTTGGTTCCACACTGCTATGTGGAAATGGGTGGGATGGGAGCATGAGACTGCAGCTCTATTAAGACCACAATGGATTCAAATAAGAGCGTGAATCCCAGTTTCAAATGGGTTGGAGGTGCTAACCTTAAATGTTCCCCTTCCTTTATCTCTGGTTAAATGTAAGAGTGACATGCTGCCATGCCTGCACTGATCGATTCAGGGAAGCTGGGGGGTAAGCATCATGTTCATACATTTGATCTTGCACTATTGAAAGGTTCACAACCTGACTGGACGGCAAAAAAAAAAAAAAAGAAAAAGCTTGAGAAGATTGTTTGTAATGGTAAATCAATGCATCTCACTGCTGAAAAGCAGGGGTAAGCACAGATGCATTTATAGCAGCCACTTTAGTGACCACTCAAATCCTCCTCCATGCATCCCTCACGTTAACACAGCAGCTGCTAGGGTCAGCTGTTTGATTTCCCAAACTATACATGCTCTCTCTCTCTTTCTCTCTCTCAAGCCATGTGCCTGGTAGTCAACAGATTTTCAGAAGTGCAAAGTGTAATGGATGTTACCATGCACTGATACTTACGGAGATTCAATGCTTTTCCGTGTGTGCGTAATCGATAGTGGAGGGTCTAAGGACAAATCACACAATACCTCATCAGCATGACAATATGTTTCATTTCTTTATCTCAACCACTGCAATGCTGAAGCTGGTAAATGTAAAAATGATAGATTTCAGCTTTAAACCAGGAATGCTACAGAAAAGACAGTGTCTTGGTTTTGAAGGACTCACCTCGCTTGCGTTTGAGCTTGCGACGATGCTGTTTGTTGACGAAACACGCAGCTAGAGTGCTGAAGAGGATGGCAGCCGCCAAGAAACAAATGGTGGCCACGATGCCGGCCACCACTGGCCTGGCCAGCCCCTCGTCGGATATCTCTGTGGGAGGGAAGGGGTCTGAGAGAGGAGAAAGACTCCGGAATATGAAATTAGGATGGAAGAATGCAGCAAGCGTGTATTCACAAAGCAGGTTAACGTGATTGCTGACTGTGATTCAGTTAGTGTGCATTACAAAGCAAACTACAGCATAGTGTTAACATAACTGCAGCCTATCAGATTGCCTATTTAGATCGAGGGGGCATGTGGCTTTAAAAAATTTTAACCCAAGTGGATTTTGCATGCAGCTTCCAAAAACAGTCAGAGTCCAAAAATTGAGTCAATTCCATTTCAGCTTTTAATTTCAATGAAAATGCATGGTGATCTATTAAAATGTATAAGCTCAATCAGTAAGTAACTTTAGCTTTACATTAACTTTAACATTAGCTTTGTTAAAAAGTGTTTTTGTTCTTATCTTAAATGAGCCAGGACTACCATTGTTGCCCCCTCCAAAAAAATAGATGCATGATTACTCTGTATATATGGGTGGCGCTAGGGAGGGGCTAGCATGTGCTTCAGAACCCCCAAGAAAGGCCAAAGCACCCCCAAAAATAATTTCCGGAAGCAATTATATTGCTTAAACAATAAAAAATTCATGTTGAATTGTTTTATGTGCTTACTGTATCCACGTCTCATAATGGAAACACGTTCATGAACAATATAAGTTATTACTTTGTATAGCCCTAGAGCAGACTGGACATCTCTCCATTTGTTGAAAGCTTCCCGATGTTGACTCTCGTCTTATTCTGACGCCTGGCACTAGACAGAAGTTTTATTTTCTTTGTCTTACGTTGAGTTTGTGTTGGGGTTTGGTCTCTTTGAATCCATCTTCTACTTTTGTCAAAAGTTGACTCTTGGTCTTCGCTTATACGGAGAATGGCGGCGAATACACAAACCTGCCAAACATAGCCAGGCGAGCGTTAACGCGCATGACGACGCGCCCAGTCTCAAATTCGAATTTATTTTACTGTACAGGATTATAGAGGCAATCGCAGTGATCAGAGAAGGGCTCATTCAGCCCATCAGGCAATTGTTTAAGCATGTATGGGTTAGAAAAACGGCTATTTTTATGAAATGTTGCGTAATGCACCTTTAAAATAATGTTGCATAATGCACCCCCTCAGCATCTGCATAAAAAATTATCTAGCGCCACCCCTGTCTGTATCACATCTACACAGCAAAAAAAAAAAAAAACAGCATACAGTGGGGCACAAACTACAATGAGCAGCAGGGGGCAGTGAAGCTCTAGGTGGCTAAAGCAATGAATTGGTGCATTTTAGCTATACCCCTTATTCTCACCTGTACTTGACACTCCCACCACATTACTGCTCTCACTGACAAGATCATCCATTACAGCTAGCGCTCGGAATTCATACCAAGAGTCCTGGGAGACAGAGAAACAGGTCAGTGGGTCACAAATCCTGTGAGGCCAACAGGTTAAAGTGTCAGATCTACCAACAGATTTGTAACAAGAACATTTGTAGCAGACTCCACTGTATGTCAGACTGAATAAAATTACATCCTTTGAGCCTTTCAGCTGAAATGCATTCCCTCACTGCAGCTCTCTCAAACGTTTTAATTAGATTTTTGAAATTAGATTTAAATACAATTTTCACATTACAGAAGTAGGGTTTCAAATTGCAAATAACCGTAAATTTAGCTCCACCTCTATTATTGATGGCTTACTTAAAGAGTGTACACACAGAGAGATACTATATAAAAAAAATAATAATTATATATATGAAGAGTTCAGATGCAAAAGCCTCTGAATGCCATTTGACATTTTCTTCTAAAATGACCATTTTTATCAAGCTTGTATATTTAAGTTCAGTAATTTCACTTAAATAACAATTAATAGGTAATTATCATTGCCATTTAAGTGAAATTACTGAACTTAAATATACAAGTTTGATAAAAATCATCATTAAAGAAGAAAATTTCAAATGGCATTTAGAGGCTTTTGCATCTGAACTCTTCATATATATATATATATATATATATATATATATATATATATGTTTTCATGAGATGACAAAGCAACATTTTCATCCACTGCATATGACTGTTTCCAATGTTGGAAACAGTTGTGTTGCTTCAAATTTTTGTTTTGATTCTATTTATATTTCTATTCTATTTGATTCTATTTTCATATAGAATATAGTGTCTATTTTTGAATCTAATTGCCATAAAAAATCTTGCACAAAAGGATTTCCGTGGATATTAGTTAACACAATAAGTGTTACCTGAATGAGGTCTCTTGCTATGATCTCAGTCTCAGTGGCAGGAATCAAGTCATCCAGAACCTCCCACCTTTCTCCCAGACGAAACTCAATGATGTAACGGTCGATCGGTGAAGAGTGATTGGCCGGAGGAAGCCATGTCAACAATACACCCTGCTGTGTCCGGTTGGCTGTGAGGCACCGTGGTGGAGTTAGAAGCACCAGTGGTTCAGGGGTACTTATGGGATACCCTAGGAACGATAAAAGGAGGTTGTAAGTGCATCTCATGTGGAGGGTCGTTCAGTGGTCCATTACACAACGCAGTTTGTAATGAAGTGTCGCCCACCTCCTGTAGTCACAGTGACTACCTCACTGAAGGGGCCAGTGCCCAGCTTGTTCTGGGCCAGCACACTGAATTGATAGGCAGTCTTTAACTCCAACCCCTGGACCATCAACCACGTCTGAGAGCCAGGCACAGGTATGGAGAGCCAATCATGTGGCCCTAAATCATTCTTCACCTTCCTATTGGATTATAACAAAGGGTTGCATTAAAAATGCATTTTACCTTAAAGATGACTTGCATATAACATACAGTATGTAAATGAATTGAGCTTAAACTGTCCCACTGATTCATTGCATTTGCAATTCATAATTAGTGCTACCACAATGGGAAAAAAAATTGACTAGACTAAGTCACAAGTATATGTAGAAAAAAAGTGAGGAAGGAACTATATTTAGTTGGCATTTAGTTCTGGCATGACTTACACCGGGCCATACCAGACCGAGAACGTCTGTTCAAAGCCTCCGTCATATCCAGGTTCCCAGGAAACGTTAGCGGAGCTTGTGGATGCTGACACGTGGACATTAGTTGGTGCATGTGGACTAGTGCCTGAAATAGGGTCATTTTTAATTAGCAGTGATTTCATCTGTCATATTCAGAGGTGTAAAGAGTACCTGAAAACCATACTTGAGTGAAAAGTACCTTACAGCAAAAATGACTATGTCACCAATTCCAATACAACTTGAGTAAAAGTCTTAACCCTGGTTTCACAAACAGGGCTTAGATTAAGCCAGGATTAGGCCTTAGTTCAATTAGGACATTTAAGTAGCTTTTACAAACATTACTGGTGTGCATATTATTGCCGTAGTGTCTGTATTAAATTGGTTTGGCTCATAATATATTCGACAGATCGAAGATTCTCTGTTCGTTTTGGCTCCTCTATGTCCTCTGTTGCTCACCTTCGATTGGGGGTCCCTCAGGGTTCAATCCTGGCCCCTATGCTCTTTTCCATCTATATGGTCCCTTTGGGATCCATATTTTAAAAATACGATGTGTTGTTTCGCTGCTATGCAGACGACATTAAGATTTATGTTCCTATTAAACGGGCAGGAAATAAATCACTCGAGTAACTTATGCCGTGCCTAGACGAAATAAAGAAAGTGGATGTCTGCAAACTTCCTACAATTAAATGAAAATAAAACCGAACTTATACAGTATATAGTTTTAACTACCTCCCTGAAGCATATACACTCTAATGAAAAATCATTAGATAGTTTTCCGAAACTGGATAAGCAAGTAAATCCTGTTGCCAGATTGTGTTTTGTCCATTTACGTAAGCTGACTAAAGTTAATCCTTTTCTATTTCACCAAGCTTTTGAATGGGTGATGCATGCTTTTTTATGTCATCTTGACTGGACTATTAAAACTCTTTATAATATGGAATAAATTCAACTACTCTAACACGTCTTCAAATAGTTCAAAACGCAGCAGCGAGACTTTTAAAAGGTATACAAATGGGAACATATTACCCCTATTTTAGCATCCCATCATTGGTTGATGGTTTGTTTTAGGGCTGATTTTAAAATTCTTTTTTTTTTTTTTTATAAGTGCCTAAATAACCTTGCTCACCTCTATCTATCTGAGCTCTTAGAGCAATACAATCCTTCCAGAGATCTTAGGTCAGGTACACAGAAAATTGTATCTATACCACGGTACAGGTTTAAACACACAGGTCATCGTGCCTTTGCTATTGCGGGCCCGAAGTTATGGAATAGCTTGCCTATTCATGTTCGTTCTGCATCTGACCTGTCAGTTTTAAAGTCACACTTGAAAACACACTTTTATTCCATTGCTTTTAATAACGTGTAATCAGCATTTTAATTTTTCAAGCTCGGTCTGTTGTGTGATATTATATAGTTTAGTAAAGCACATTTGTCAGCCTGTCTGTATAAATGGTGCTATATAAATACATTTTGACCTGACTTGACTTGACTTGACTTGATAATAGCAGCAGAGCACCAGGCACTGAAGACGATGAAGACTCTGAAGAGGAGAATGGATTCAGGAGTTCCAACACATTTCTTATCGCCACCTAGCAGCTGCAGAGAATCTGTTAATTGCTCCCTCATTAAGGATAATCTTTAGACTGTCATGACACCAGTCCATCACCAAACAAATAAAGTGTGTGTGGGGCTGTGGGCCTGCTGACACATCACTTGTCATCCGAGGGCGAACTCACAGACGCAGCTGAGTTAGAGCCTGCACGAGCTACACAGACCCCCTACTGTAATGACTCACTTGTGCTGCTTGGCTGGGAATCTCAATGTCCTAGCCTACGCTTCCTGTCTGGCACATGATGAGAAATCACATATGTGACATATTTAATGTTCACATGTTAAAATAAAAAATGTGCAATAGAAAACTGTAATTAAATTATTTTTATAAAAATATTGTATTTATGGAATTATTTAGATCTAGTGATTTATTTACAGCAGACAGACAAGCATAGATAGATAGATAGATAGATAGATAGATAGATAGATAGATAGATAGATAGATAGATAGATAGATAGATAGATAGATAGATAGATAGATAGATAGATAGATAGATAGATAGATAGATAGATAGATAGATAGATAGATAGATAGATAGATAGATGAGTCATTTACCTATTACAAAAAGGCGTGTGCTGGCAGTGATGCTTGTTACTACGTTGGTGGCGACACATTCCCACTCTCCATGATCCTCTTTGCTCAGAGACATGAATTGCAAGCTACCACTTGATAAGATGTTATGTTTACTTCTGCTGGGCTTACCGACCTTGACAGAGCACAAAAGAATAACGTGTTTGTGATTGTCTATCCATGATATATATACTGTATTATAGGTTGCTCAGTGTCCTGGTGGGTCATGATACCTTTCTCCATACGATGGTAGGAATCTCAGGGTCTCCAGAAGCAGCGCAGGGGATGACCAGCTCTCTCCCCGCCTCCTGACGGTACTCCCCCCCGGGCCTCACGTTGAAGTAAGGGGGGTCCTGGGGTCACATGATGATGTTCAACACACAAACCTTTGAGGAAAAACTGATTCCTCCCATTATGACCCCTTTAATTAAGATGCACTGACTCACCTTTAGCACCAGAGTGGCTGGAGGGGACTGTCCCATGGTACCTAGGACATTGTAAGGCACACAGGTGTAGGTGCCAAGGGAGTCTTCAGTGACCTCTGCCACCCGAATGCTTCCATCTGCCATTTGGCTCCATCCAGGATACTGTGAGAGGAGCAGAGGAGGACAATCGGTGATCTGAAGTGTTGTCAAACAGTCTCGACATTTCAGACGTCAGAAGTCTACCCATTACAGACCTTCTCGATTCTGAGTGGGTAGCCATCTTTCTCCCATCGGACTGAAATAACTGGAGGGTTGGCATCCACTGGGCACCGAATGATTCCCGGCAACTTCCTCGGGGCGTATATGACAGGTGGCATGTTCACAACACGGGCAGGGTCTGCGGAGAGGATACAGTGAAAATGTTAGTTATAGTACAGCAGATTAGAAAACATTTGAAATTTTTGAAAGTGAACAATTGAAAGTGAACATGAAATGGCAATCGCAAATCAATCTACTTTCATAATGAGAAAAAAAAAATTGTAGGGAAGGACTTTTTATCCACTGAGATTTCCCTGGATTGTGAAAAGTGGGTCTTATCTCTAAATAAAGCTGCAGTCACATTAGCGAAATTTCTGCAATTTTTTTTGCAGCCAAAAAAAGGGCCACTGTTTATTGTCAATAGTGTGGCGATGAATGAAGCACGACTCACACAGAAGTCATTTTCAAACCAAGCTCCTTTCTGTTGGTCAACCCGGCATAGCCAGCTGGGCGACTTGATAGTGTGGATTCTTATTGAAATGACTGGACGAAGAACATTCGCTGAATGCTAAATGTGGCTAAATGTGGTCCTGTGTTGTTTTTTTAACCGAATCCAATGTTGATTGCAAGATTTCTTTAAAAATTTACAACGGATCCAGTTAAAAACAGCCCTCACAATATGATTCATTATAGATGAATAAGTTATAGATATAAAATCTCAACTGCAAAACCAGTGTTCACAGTGTAAGTGATGTGTCGTAACAGAACATGTAAGTGTTATTTAAAGCCCTTCCTGAGAAGTTCTCTCACCTGCGGCAGCCCCGGGGTGTCGCTGACTGATGTAGCACAACCCCAGCGGCACAGAGAAGCGGGCTGCTAATGAGACAGTCAGCCACTTCTCTGCATATGACACAATATAATGTACTTTTCCACCACTAATCTCCTCTCTCTTCAAACTGCCGTGCTTTATTTCCCCTCGGTTAATTCTTTAAGGCCCCCTTGTCACCCCAGCCCTGACCTCTTTTCTGCTGTGATGATATAGTGGGTCATGGTGATCTACAGGGTGGTAAATTGAGAGAGAGAAAGCAATCTTTCATATTTATACACCCTTTCCCCCCAGTTCACATTCAAGACAATACACACTTTCTCTACACATTGCATTTTCTTCCCATTGTAACAATCAATATTGACTTATAGACATCCAGAATCTACATAACAGGCTTGCTGATTAATAATAGAATAGAATAGAATAGAATAGAATAACGTTATTTAAGTTAGACATATATACATTAAGGAATAAGTTAATTGGCTTCTGATACTGATTAGCTTCATCTCGGTCTCCTCTCCCCCAGTAAGCTGGTGTGTGGGGAGTGTTCTGGCACAATAAGAGTCCTTTCTGTGTGGAGTTTGCATGTTCTCCTCATGTCAGGGTTGGTTTCCTCCGAGTGCTCTTGGTTTCCCCCACACACAGTCCAAAGACATGCAGGTTGGGTGTATTAGACAAGCCAAATTGGCAGTAGGAGTGTGTGAGTGTGTCCCAGTACTCTCATATCTGGGTTGCGTCAGGAAGGGCGTCCGGTGTAAAACCTGTGCCAAATCCAATGTGTGTGCGCAGATCATTTCTCCCATTTTCTCACTGACACGCCCCCAACTCATAAAGATTGGGGCTTAAAGAAAATCCAACACTTCCGAGTGGTATGTTTGAATTGGTGGTGGCTCTCATGTGCATTCAAATCGTAAATACAACCGTTTGGGCATGCCTCATCCATCATCATGTGCCTCATGGAACTATTGGTTTAAAATAATGAAGTAAAGTTGCATTCATTTATAACTGTCATGATTCCAATTTTTCAAGATGACCACAGGAAGTAAGGCTCTTCCAATCTGTCTTCTCCAACCATGAGAGAGAATGATATAGAGACAGACAGACACAAAGCAGCAGCTCAGACTCCAGGCTTATCCGCCACTTGCTCACGAGTCCTGGTGCAGATGGAAACAAACTCTCAAACCCTCCAGAGAGAGGCAGCAACTAGAACATCTCAGATGCCTGGCAGCCCCCACAGCATCTCAAAGGGTGTAAATAGCTCTGTCCCTCTACGTGACAGACACCAATTACATATAACACCTCAAAGGCACACAAGACATTGACTGAGATTTCAAACGCAGGCCTGGTGCTGCAGGCTGTTTAAGAGGTTGGAGGTGAAACTCACATTGCACGGTCAGGTAAGCTGAAGCAGAGGGGGATATACCCAGGCTGTTACTAGGGCTGCATGTGTATTTCCCAGCATCCTCTGGCTTCACTCTGTAGATAATGAGGGTTCCGTCAATAAAGATGCGCACACGGAGCTTCAGATCACTGAAGGGAAGAGAAGAGAAATGATCTGTTTGAAAAAAATATTATTAAAAGCATTTGTACACAGAGAAGAATTGAAGCTGATGTGGTGTCTCATTATTATGGAAAGCAAAAAACAAAACAAAAAACTTATACCTACTTTTTGTGAAAAATACAAGCCAAATGTGTTAAATCAAGTCAAAATTACGAGAAATTATGAGAAAGACACATTTGTAAGAAATAATTACATTATGTAGTTGCAATTATGGGAACTACATACATTTGTGAAATATAATGTCACAATTACGAACATAAAGAATAGTGCTGTCAAACGATTAAAATATTTAATCGCGATTAATCGCATTAATGTCATAGTTAACTTGCGATTAATCACAATTAATCGCACATTTTTATCTATTCTAAATGTCTCTTGATTTATTTTATTTACATATACTGTGTTCAATTTCACACTAACTCAAAAAAATCTCTCACACAATGTACTGTCTATCAATAAAAGTGTGAATGAAATACTGACGAGGTCCTGATATTGACGAGGGGGCGGAGAATTCACATCAGCTGTGTGTGTGTGTTTGTGTGTGTGCTTGGCCATCATCAATTGGTGTTTCAGACTGGACATGCTGCGATGATAGTTCAGTTCACAACGACAAAACACACAGATCACTTTGGTCTTGTCAATGGGACCATTTAGCAACTTTTTAAAAGTAAACTTTCCATTCATAATCTTATTGGCATCCATTTTGGCGTCTCGCGCTCGTCATCCACTTAAAACGTAACGTTAATCAACTATTTGGCCGGCTCACACACCTAAACAAATGTGTGCGGCGTCGTGCCTGTTGTTTTGTTTCCGGTCTAGCTAGATTCGCTTGCGCTTTGGTCGACGAAGCAACAAAACGTCCTCGCGCGCCGCAAGCCATTGAAATCAACGTGTTTCGTAGCGCAGCGCCACACATGTTGCATCCTATGGTCGCATCCTCTTAAAAAACTACAACGTTTGCTAGGCCAAAAAGATCGTTAATCGTACGATAAAAAAATTGACGCCGTTAAAATGGTTTTGCGTTAACGCCGTTAATAACGAGTTTAACCAACAGCCCTAATAAAGACATTTTAGAGATTTTACTAAAAAAAAAAAATAAAACAGAAACAGAATTTCATTATACAATTCTAACTAACTGGCATTCAGCTGAATTTTAGCTTCTTAACCTAACTAGCTTTAGTTGATTTTACATTACATTTTATCTTTCACAAACTTTTTTTCCACGCACAACATTTTTTAATGAGGCCACTGAAGACTCTTGTCTCTTTCCTTATAGATGTGTATGCCTTCCTAAAATGCTTCTGAGCAAATAAAATATTTCTTTTTGAGGTTAATTTTACAAAAATCAATGTCCAGTACAGTATGTTGAATGTTCCCGTGAACATCCGTCCACCCCTCTCACTATTCTGGCCTGTTTCCACAGAGAGGAACAGGGTCAATACGGCCACGCTTGGGGGAGTCAGAACAGCTCCTGGCTCGGCTTCAGATGATCAGCATGTTTTTTTAGGCATGTGATGACACAAGCAAAGTGTCACAAGATGTTCCCATCCCGGCATAAAAACCTGCTGTGTGCGCCTCCACGTCACTGCGCTAGAATTTGCCTTAATGCAGCTGTAGAGGGCTTGAGATTCAGGGATTCTGGGTCTAAAAATATATGTGGCTCTAATCTAAAACCGTATGAATGTGGAAGACAAGACACACACAACGGTTTCTGAGACTTGGCACAGATGTGAACTCGACCATAACTTTACTTCTTGAAGTAGACGTTGTCTTCCTCCCAGAACCAAGTGTAGGTCAGGTTGCCAGGATACGCCTCTGCTTGGCACGTAAATTGGGCATTCTGGGAAATGTTAACAGTGATGTTCTCAGGTGGTGACACGATGTAAGGAGGACCTGGTGAAGGGAAACAGTGGCATAGTTATAGACAGACAAACAGAAATTAAGGTTATTATGTAGACTCGCATGAGCTGTAAGTAAAGTTGAAAATGTGCGCTATACTTGTGAGATGAGAAAGTCACAAGTGTAAAGTCTCAATTGCAGTGTGTGAAATACTGTAGACATATTTGTGAGATTCAAAAAGTTGCAATTACAAAATATAGTTGCAATCATGAGCAAAGATTTCAAGAACAACCAAATGCAACACAAGACTAATTAACACACCAATGAACCAAACTGAAGAATAGGACTGACTATGAATAGGCATAACCAAGTAAAAGCTGTGAAACATAACCCAAAACTGTTACACTAGTATCTTATTTTCTTTTCTTTAGAATTAAAATTCTTATTCACAAACCGAGGAAACAAGTTGTCTAAATAAGAGTAAACTCACTGCTAACATGATATTTGAGTGCACATTCAAAACAAAATTAGAGGTGCTAGCTTTCTACCCGCTAACTTTCTTTTTCTTAGCGTATTTACTGCAAACACATTTTGTGTTTATATAAACCAAGAGACCGAAATTATTCTCTGCGTTAATCGACTGCATGCCACTGATGTGGTATTCCTTCCAATTATCCTAATTCTCCTCCGCGTTTATCTGTGTATATAAACCTAAAGACAGCAAAGATACTACTGTCAGACCTTCCCCACAGAGAATATTATCCTTCCCACACGAGGCTGTCACTGAAATTGCCAATAGACTCTTAATTAGACGTGTGGGTAGGCAGGAATACTGTCGTGACACTCGGACCGCTGTGAGATTTGCGAGTGCTCTGCAGAGAGGTACAGCGTGAACATTGCTTTAGCACAAATAAACCTATGACTAGCTGTGAAATATCTTCTAATTTTAATGCGTAGACTACGCTCAGCTTCCTGGATGTGTCCTTAATGTGCAGTAAATGACACTGCATCTAAGGGGATTATTGACAGTAGCGTAGCTTTGCTTATTAATGAAATCGCGCAAAGGCATCACTTGAAAGCGTCTAAAAATATCCCCGGCGTTGCTCATGCTTGTGTTCTTGAAGCAGGTTTTAACTAGAGTGCCTCTCCAGAGGCTTCATGAGAATATTGCTTTTTGTAAAAACAATATTGCTAGTTTACTAAACAAAACAGCCCATGGCCAAGGCAATTTTGGCTCAGCACAGTTCATATGTGTCTCCATCTGACTCACTGGTGCTTAGACAAGAGCAGACGATGATTCCCTTCTAAATCACTCCGACTAAAGCTCTAAATTCCAGGTAGGGCAGACGAGCGCTAGCTCTCAAATATGTCAGATGAGCAAATATTACATTTTGTTTCGACGTTTATGTACTTTCTCAGGGGTGTGTGTTTCCCGCACAACAATGTAACTCGCTGATTAACAATCATAGTACGATGCCACGTTGGAGAAACTAGCAAACAAGTCACTAGTTTTTCCCGAAACACGGTTGCACCTCGGAACAATATCTGTCGCTAACGTCATCAAACGCATGTGGAGAAGGAATATTAACTTCTGCTAATGAATCTATTCCCAGAGTGAACATGGCATCTAATGACTTCTTCACTCTTTGTGTTTCATGCAATTTAGCTTTAAATTTTGTTTAATTCATCGTGGGTTCCCTCATACATAATACTCCAAAGTTCCCTTGTATAATTTAATATATAATAAAATGACTCACGGTGACGGTTACAACTTTCACGGAAATAACTGAAATGATCATTTTCAGATTATTCTTATTACAACATCTCACAGCAAAAGACTCAAGAAAATACACAAAATAAGTCTAATGTATAATGCCTTTTAAGAAACTCAATGTCATTAGAATAATTAGCTTCGCCATTAATACTGCGACCAAAGCCCATTATTATTGTCTTTATCATTTCAAGCTTAATATTTTTCAAACACAGCATACATGAAATTACATAGACGTCACTAATTTTTGGGGAATTATTTTTGGGCTCCTTGGAAACTAAAAGTTTGAAAACCATGCAATAAAATGACTTAAATATATGATAATATAATATAATATTTATTATACATCAGCCAGCCATTAGTAAGGAAATGTAGGGAGTATGGATAAGAGGCTCCAGATGTCCTGTATATGTCCTGGTGCACTATGATCATACATGTCCTCTAAATTCTCTGTTTCCCAGTGAAGGATGTGTTAGCGTGCTGCTTTGTATTCACAGCCATGCTCCACTGCCATAAATCAGACTGCAGTGAAAGCCACAAAGCCAATGACAGGCAGCTTGCTCATGTTTGCTGTCATACTGTACACGGTCGACGGATAATATACTGAACCACTTTATCATTCTGTACTAATGCTAAGGCTATATGGGGGGGGGGACTGTGGTACCAGTACCAGGTGCTGACTCAAAGCGAATGATGATTATTCTTAAAGTCATAAGAATTAAAAAGTCATAATATGACCAAAAATGTCAACATTTTTGCCATAACTATGACTTTTGTCATTATTATTTCTTTTATTAAGACTTGAAAAATTAAAATTAGCCCATGAAGTCATCCTAGGTGTATATATGACACTCTGCTTTCAGACGAATATAATCAGAGTTATATTTAAAAAATGTCCTGGCTCTTCCAAGCTTTATAATGGGAGTGAAAGGCTGTTTCTGTTTTGAAGTCCATAAAAGTGCATCTATCATCATAAAAGTGCTCCACACGGCTCCGGGGGGTTAATAAAGGCCTTCTGAAGCGAAGCCATACTCTGTACTCTTTCCACCACTGAAATTGGTGATTTTTTAAAGCCAAAAGAAGGTTTGCTCTAGTGCAAGCTGTTAGTAAATCTGGCCCATATTTCATAATTTCTCTCATATTTATTACTTAGTATTTCTATTTCCACTTTTTGTGTATTTATGACTAGTTTATGTCATAACGATAGTTTACTAGGGATTGTAAACTGACACAAATTTGACGATTCGATTTCGATTTCGATTCAAATTCAATTTGATTTGATATTGATTTGTTCATATATCAAGCATATGGCAAATTCTCAAGGAAAGAAAATCTCTCAAATAATGTTGTAGACTTTACAGGGAGTCAGTTGGTACTATATTACTGTAAAATTAAGGTTTCAATTAACTGATTTGTATACAAAAAGTTAAATTACCCACAAGGAAGTTTTTATAATAATAAAGTTATAATATTAACTTTATAATTCCATGTTTCTGTTTCTACTCTGATTTGTAGTTTGAAATATAAACATTTAAATGGTGGCTGTCATAAAACGTGATGAATTTATTATAACATACATTATTAAAGAACAGTAAAATATATAATGAATTTGTAATATAGTGCATAGTATATTTAGCGAAATGCTCCTATCTAGAGTTAATTTAGCTGACTAACAAGCTTGTTGTCACTGAATGGCTTTTCTGAGTAAAATGTAACATTACATGACACAGTCTTTCTGTGGTTGAAACACTGCAATTACATGAGACATAAGGATTTCAATCAAACTGTACTGTATCCTTCAACATACCTTCTGATGTTCATTAATGTTTATTTCGTGTTGTATAGTAAAGATGACCCATTCATGTGCGCTTGATCTGGGGGTCTTGATATAAGACAGAGGGTCTTAAATATTGAGATATTAAAGAGATCTCCACTCCATTTTCCTTTCTTATGGACCACCAACTAAACCAGTACAAACTAGTCTGACCACCATCTTCGAAATTAGTAAGGGATATCAGCAGTTATGATGTCCTCATGTGAACTACAGACAAATAAATAAATAAGCCACTCTGAGGTGCGTATGCAAGGCACAAGTGGTAACCGAAAACCTACAGTCTATCAACTCCATCGCTCTGAGCAGGGCTGTAAACAGCTTCTACTGGAAGGCTTCATTAGGACCCGAGTGACAGGAAGTGATCTATGCAGATGGAGCAGACTGAACGTATTGACTGCGGCAGATGTGCTTAGAGTGACGAGACGTAAAGGCCAGACTTTGACAACACTGATGTGTCCATACGCAGATTCACTAAAAGAGACTAATTAACCAGGGAGCACAGAGGGATTTGCATCTTTGCAGCTAGTATTGATGGGACAGGATGACCACAGTAACAAATAAAAGGACAAACATTGATCGTGAAGGATGATTTTTGGCTTCTCCCGGATGCCAGAAGCGGAAATTTCCTTTTTGCGTATTAGATGGGCCTGTTTATTTTATATGGATATGTGTTGCACCACAGATATTGCAGACCTCACCTTGCACCAGCAAGCGGGTTGTGTGTAGCGCCTCCCCCTGGTCACTGTGGGCACGGCAGCTGTAGGCCCCCCGGTCCTCCCGCGTGATGGCCTGCACTGTCAAACTTCCGTCAGTCACCTACAGAAAGATTACAAGCAAAAAAATGGGGTTTAAACACAAATATAACATTATATATATATATATATATATATATAGACATCATATAAAAAAATTATTTAATACTAATAAATTATGGCTATAAAAATTGTTTATAATACTTTTACAACTACATTATTAAAATCAAAAGTTGTATTTGTTAACCTTAGTTATTTCACTGTGAACTGTGCTACGTAAACTAATGTAAATATGTACAGTAAGTTAACCCTACAAAACAGTAAAGCTATTTACAGACACTGTTCATGGTTAGTTCATGTTAACTAATGCATTAACTAATGTTAACTAACCGTGCTGTTAATTGTGAATTGATGCATTAGTATGTGCGAGTTAACGTTAACAAATATGAACTAATTCTGAACAGAGGTGTTGTTCATGGTTGGTTCTTGTTAACTATGCATTAACTAATATTTACTAATGAACCTTATTGTAAAGTGTTACCAAACTGTCAAAATCACATTTATAAAATAGTTGAAAAATAATATTATAATATAATATTACTATAATAATATTATAATATAATCATTTTTCCAATTTTTTTTACATTTTAACAATTAAAATGCTTTCTAAAGGCAGATTAGAAATTGACAGCAATTGTTTAACAATAATAAATAAATAACTGATATTTATTATACTTTTACTTCTGTATTTATTTATTTAATTATACTAAAAAGGACAGCAATAAAATTGTTAAAACTTGTAAATTTATAAAAATGTATAAAATAGCTTCAATTGATATTTTAATTTAATTTTAAATTAATGTTAAAATCAGACTATGTAAACTAAATTTAAGGCCTTCGATGTTGCATTTTAATAATCATAAAGAGATTATTGCTTGTGCGCTTTTTGTAACAAACCAATTAAAATATATCAGTTTCCACATCTGAGCCTGAAAGTACCGTTGCGTCTTCCCGAGCAGCACACGGGTGACATGAATTATTGCGTAGGTTCCTGACAGGACGTTTTAGAAGAGGAGTGGGTCGCGTCTTATTCCCTGCACGTCAATTGCTTTAGCCAGAGGAGACTGGCCTTATTGTTCCTCCCACACAATATCCCAAGGTGTGTCAAGTCCTGCTGGACGGTTGACACAATCCTCCCGGCCTGTTCCATCACAATCCTGTCGCTGACAGACACATCACACACTGATGACCCAGACGGGAGGAGGTAATAAACTCTCTCAAACACTGTGTGTATGTGTGCAGAGAGATCTAATTTAAACACACACTGCTGTGGAGGAGGGCAGGGTGAGAAACAAGCTCTGTGCATCGAGACGAGACATCTGTGCCTCTTGCTCTTTAGTGTGTGTGTTCCGTCATCACATTCCTCCATTTCTCTAACTTCTAGCCATGGAAGCCGGGAGAAGACTGGAGGACCACCGGCCTCCTCACCACTGTTCTTAAAGGTGAGGTCACGATGCACTTCTTTTGAGTAAATGTCTGGGACTGTGGCTGGTTAGCAGTAGGAATAGCTTTTAAAAGTAAGAGCCAAGAAGCTGAAGCAGAGTGCTTTCTCCTCACAGAAGAAATAATTAAATATAGATTTGACACAATCTAATTGCAGCCGAATCGAGATTAATCACAGCGTATGGGGCAATGTACTAAATGTGACAGAATCGCTTAGGCTGCTGCAAGCATTTACATTCACTGACATAAAAGTCATGTGGGATTGTTTACATGCGTTTCGGGATTAAGCATATATGGCTCTTTTCTCAGAGCTACTTTTTTAATCAATTGTAATAATTCTTTTTTTATTCAAATAAAAATTAATTTGCTATATAAATGCTATATAAAAATAAATATAAATAAATGCCACTTTGTTCGAAATTTTGTTTTATAATGCAAAGGCAATCTAATAATAATTGTAATTGATTTATGTTAAAACTATAATTGTAATATTAATAAATATTAAATACATGAAATTCTATTATGCTATTTACATTTATATATATTAGGGCTGTCAAAATCATGTGGGTTTACAAAATATATGTGGGTGTATAATTATTTTTAATATATATAAATACACACACATACATGTATATTTAAGAAAAAAATATTATTTATATATAAAATATTTAAATTTATATAATATAAATTATATAGAAATCTATATACAGTATATACTATATAAAATATTTCTTAAATATATACAATATATATTTTATATTTTTTATAATTTTATATATATATATATATATATATATATATATATATAACATTAGTTTAATATTAATAAACAATAATATATATATATATTAAAAAATATATATTAAAAAAAATATATAAAAAATATAATATATATGTTTTGTGTGAAAGGTTCGCGGCTATAATAAATGCCACTCGATTTGATATTTTATTATTTCATGCAAAGACATTATAATTAATAATAATATTTTAATGAAAACAATTACAAATAATAAAGCATTATATGTAACAAAATGTTCCTTAAATTCAAAACTTGTTTGAAAAGTTAGCTTATATATACTAACACAATAATATTTTAATTGAATAATTAATTCTGCTATTAAAAGAAATTATAGTCTTTAAAAGTAATTTAATAAAAAAATGATTTAGTTAATAGTTAAATTCAATAATTAATAAATAAGTTAAAATATTTGTAATGTTTAACTTAAAGCTTGCATCTATAATAAAAACACCATATTTGATATTTTGTTATATAATGCTAAGACGCTAAAGTGTCCAAATGTGCGTAGCATAAGCACGCAAAAACATTTTTGGCGTATAAATGCCACATTCGTGGTATAGATACGCATCTTCATGAGACTGTGTTGAAATGTGGGAGTTCACGCCTCACCCGCCAAACAGCTTATAAGACATCACAAACGTGACCTTTTGGGAATACGCTCCAGTGCTGTGAAGCGATCCCACTGGGTAGGAGAGTAACCTTGCTAAGAGCATTCACGAAAGAAAAACAGCAGCCAGCCATCACTTCCTGTTCATCAGTCGCCGGTGAGTAAGAGTGGCAGGCAGAATACGGCAAATGGCATTCAAACACGCCTCGTGTAAATGCTAGCTGTGACCAAAAAAGCGCTGGGAAATACGGAAGGAGACGAACGCGGTGCAGGTGGCTGTAGTCTAGAACAGATGAAAGGGAACATTCAGATGTAAGACAGAAGCAGCCACACTGTCTCACTTGTCTTTTATTTGTCTGTTTCCTCAGGGATATCTCCTCAGATGAGCTGAGAGGCAATGCCTACTGGAGCCAGACTGACTGCCTGTTCTGTCAAATCCTGCGCCGCCTCCTCCCCTGCAGCCTGCATGCGGTGTAAGTTGGAAACACGCTTGTCAGTTTTTCTCCATTCCCACTGCAGGCGTGTGCTCTTCAACTGTCAGACCCTAGACGCGGGCCCTGACTGACAGAGCCTTTTCTTACAAATAGATTGTGATGATTCACGCTTCCATTTCCAAAAGAAAAATGAGACAGTACGATTCACTGCAGATCAAATTAATGGCTAGACTAAATTCATACTGGCTATATTTGGAGACAAAAGTACATTGTCAACGTTCTACTTAATCAAGGCAGCAGCTAACCAAAATGAAATGCTATCTGAAACTGTTCACACTCAGTGAGTTTTGACCATCTAAACAAATTTAAAACAAGATAAATCTACTTAATCTATAAAACAATCTAACCTAATATCATATATCTCATTTTATTTTTATTTTTATTGGTTTCTGCATTAACTTCACCATATTTTCAAGATTCCATTCTAAAATGTGCGGTTATATTATTTGTGTAAGATTTGTCTTATGCTCACCACCATTTATTTGATCAAACTACAATAAAAACAGTACTATTATTACAATTTAAAAAAATCTTTTCTAATACATTTTAAAATTTAATTTATTCCTAAATTTTCAACATCATTACTCCAGTCTTCAGTCACATGATCCTTCAGAAATCATTCGAAAATGCTGATCTGGGGCCAGTTGCATTAACATAGCCATTACGTGAAGATTGTAACTTAAGAACTAGTATGACCAATGGTGTTATCAGTCTTACTTTCAGGTATCAAATTAGACCAACCTACGTCTTAAATGTAACTTGAAAAAATCATGAACAATTTTAAAGAAAAAAAAAATGTCATGACTAACTTGTAAGACTTGTCTTAGCAGTTTATGCAACTGGCCCCTGGTTCTCAAGAAACATTTCTTATTATCAAATATTGAAAAAAGTTGTGCTGCTTAATATTTGTGTGGGAAAACGTGATACTTTTTTTCAGGGTTCTCTAATGAATAAAAGGTTCAAAAGCATAGCATTTATTTCGAATACAAATCTTTTGTAACATCATAAATGTCTTTACAATCACTTTTGATTGAATTTAACGAATTTCTTGTTGAATAAAAGTATTAATTTCTTTCTTGCTTCTCAAATAAATTAATCTAGTTTTAGGAAAACAAGCCAAAAACACAGTTACCATGTATTTCTTGTTGCTGGTCAGCTGATCCCCCTCTCTCAGCCAGGTGACCACCGGCTTGGGGTTTCCAAAGGCAGTGCAGGTCAGAGTAATGCTGCCACCCTCCCTCGCCTCCACGTACTGCGGTGGCGTGTCCGCGAACGTAGGGGGCGCTGGGAGAGAAACAGAGGACAGGTTCAGTAAAGATTCTTATATATTTAATAGGCTACTCTCACGTGTTCAGTGTGTGTGCCATTATGCATCAGACATTCAGCCAATGGTCCGTGGGCATGGCGTCTGAGGCTGAGACTAACAGTAAAGCAACATCTCAATGCAATCTGCAGTCTAGCTAAAAGAGTTATGAAAGTAGACCACGACAAGAGCACCGCCTCGCCTACACAAAATACTCCCGCTACAAGTGGAAGTGAACATTTTGTGTAAAAGCACCTTAAGTGATTGCTAGGTGTTTGTTTACTCACCCAACCCCAAGTCTCTATTATGTGGTTCAGGCCCCTTTTTCAGTGAAAGTCTATGGGGTTGTATCATTGTTTTGCTGCCAATCTGATCACAGTGAATGTGTAAAACATTTCAGCATAATTGTGCCTCACACCTATCTATCAAGTGGTAACAATCTCTAGGACTAAGTATTGCGCACTTTCAGCAATGAAATCCGAACTTCCTCTGCATGTGGGTCACTGTTAGCCTATAGCAGTTTTGCTTTCAACAGCGCAAACACCTGGTAAAAAACAAACAAAGCAAGCAATTAATGCCTCTGAACATCTGTCCATCTGTGCCTACCGCGAGCTTTTTCATCCACGCTACAATCTGTTGCATGCTAAACACAAGGGAGAAGAATTCATAACCCAAAACATCTTGCTCATCCAATCTATATATATATTCCCTAGGGATGCTAGCACAAAGCTAGTCCATTATTGACATTGACTAGTTTATCTGGATTTTTCCATGCATCTCCTTTTAGTTTTGATATTTTTAGCAGCAGTGCTAATTAATATGCTGACAGCATAGCAAGCAGTTGTCACAGTAAAGCTTTTCAGAAATGTTGCGTTATAATTAAAAACACTTTGCGGTACAGTCAGACTACTGTTCAGTGGAAGTGTTTTAGAGTTGTACATAACATTCTGTTCCATTACACCATACGTTTTTGAACTTGTCTGATGTGAATGCATCCTAAATAAATGTCTCTTAAACTAGTCGCTAGGCAACCCACCACGTCAATTCGGACACTTCATTTTGCTGATTTTGACCAAAAGATTCTTTCTAGCTTGTTACCATTTCCATCTCGGTTTCTCTCTTAGGATATCTCTCTGATAAACACTTGAAGGTTCTTTAAGGGACAAGCAAACTCCATCACACACCTGCCCTACTTTCTGGACTCGTCTCACTATGTGTTTTCGGGAAATCTTGGGCTCACACGCCACAGCGAATGACAAACAGAAGACATATTTCATAAGGCACTTGTCTGAAGGTCTTTCCGCACAAACAGATGGTCTGGACTGAGCTCACTGACTAGACACCCAACACCTCTTACTCCAGACTTTAACTTCTGGTGAAACAAACAAGCTTAGCTTTCAAATGCTGATTAAGGTCTAATTAATAATAACTTAAATAAAATTATTCGAGAAGACCAATTTCATATACTGAGATAAATTAAGCTAAACTAATTTGCTTTTGTAAATGAACCTTTCCAAATTTTTTCAATGAACCTGTAATGCAACTTATTTGAGGACACTGATATAGATGATAGCAGTGATGTTAAATGTTTCACTATATAATGCGTTTCACATTGATGCTGACCTACACTGTAAAACAAATATTTCATTAACTGATATAAATGTTAATATACCAAGCTATTACCAATAGGTATCTAAGTCTGAAGTACTGATATATGGAAGTAAAATGATGCCAAAAACATAAAAAAGCTTGTTGAATTGCTCTAATTGAAAATAATATGCATTGCATTAACCGTGCTTATAAATCTGAAAGGTGAATATGGATTATTGCATTTTCAATAATGAAAATGTGTGTGAAATGTTTTGAATTGACATGTTTACAGCTTAAATATTCAACCATGTTGAATTTCAACCCATACAAATACAATGCAATTTTTTCAATTAGTGCAATTCAACAAGCTTTTTTGTTTCAAAAACATTTGGCATTATTTTACTTCAATACTGAAGCTCATTACAAGCAGCTTTTAAAAGGTGCAGTGTCATTCACATACATACATACATAATTGTAACAAATCTGACACTAGAGTAATGCAATAAACCTTAACTTAACAACATGTTTTGTTTTCACTGTAAATTATACAAACTGTTCTTTTTAACTTCCAAAAACTGTCAAATTTAAAAGTACATTAAATGTAAAGTTAGATCTATTATGGGTATTCACTGTATATAATAAGGAAAATTACTGTTAAAAAATTTACTGGTTTTTACCATAGCATTTATACACTCCGTAAAATCACAATCATATTTTACACAGTAAAAGAAAACGGATGATATTTACAAATTGCTAATTAAGTAGAATTGGACCCTAATCTACTGTAAAGTGTGACCGAACTTTCATCTTTTGGGTGAATTATTCCTTGCTTAAGGGAACAGTGATGATTTCTAATCAATTGTGGATTCAAACCTGCAACCTTTAGGTTACCAGCTCAGATCTTTAATCACTAGGCGTCACCATAGTGGTTTAGATTGCCACTTAGTATCAGAAGCTAATGATCTGTGCCCGCTATGGGGTTGGTCAGGATGTTCTGAGAGAGACAATTGTGACGGCCACACTGATGAAGGACAGCTGTGTGATGACCTGAGCGTCTCCACAGAACCACTACTGTTCTCTAAGCGGGTACATCTGCCTGGCTGACACCTGCTGGGTACACGCGGGCAGCCGGCCACCCTTTCACCCGTCCTGGCAGGAAGAACCGCCACTGTCCACACAGGATCCATACACAAGTGGATGCCAATGTCGCCGGCTACAGGAAACCAGTGCTGTCAGGCTTTTCTGCCCTTGTGAGGCCAGACAGCACCTGCTCCAACAAAGACGCTTCTGGACAAGATGGGCAGTCGGAATACCAATGAACACCAGTGTTTCTTACAAAACTTTTAAGATAAGCTTATGCAGAGGATGAGTATTAACAAACAAAGCTATGTGCAAAACAAAGCTATATTTTCAGAACATAACTACACTGTGTAATGGACATAGGCCAATAAGTGCTGTGCGTGTAAACTTCACTCCCCTGGCGTCAAGATGCACGCTAGAGATTAACGCTAACGGCTGCGGTCTTTAGCTTCCTTGTTAGCGCACACGCCTCCCACTCCAGAGCAGGTGGCGGGAGATCAGCAGAAAAAATAAAAATAAAAAACAGCCGTTGCAACGGCGTTCAAGTTCGTGAATAGCGGTTAGCGCTCTGCCTTTATAAAGCGGCATCGGAGGGCAATTAATACGAATCGTTTGTCACCGTTGGAAAAAGCCCAACATAGAAGTTGTTCGCCATAGAGCGGACCAAATTCCACACTACTATAACTGTGAACACGCCTCTCTGCTGCTGTGCGTGTTCCAGTGAGAAAACAAACAAGAAGCTGAGATTGTGAGTCACTGTCAAAAGTTATATGTTATATATTGGCGCTTTTATATATTGTTCTTCCAAAGCATCACTGAAATATTTGAATGTTTTTGTTTATTAAAATTAAAAGTTAAAGGTACAATATGCAGAATATTTGCAGTAAAATATCCACACAAAAAAACCCACTAGGCCTATGTTATATATTTTTTAGCTCAGCTGATTACTTTCAATATCCCAAAATTTGTATTAAACTATTTGTAAATCGTGAGAAAATTGCGATTTTTAACCAAGGAAACGGGGCGTGTCAACAGGGGTGAGGAGTCACCAGTCAATGACGATATCCGCGTTACCCCCGGTTTCCGCCAGGTTTGACCTCGTACTGCAATAGTAACCATGGCGACATGGTTGACAACTGGGTCGGTTGTGCCCGTTATGCGAGTTCAACAGCGTGAGCATCCCTAGCAGGGTTTTGTTCAAACATTATGGACCATGGCAAGCAGACTTTGAGACAAAAAGAGGACTAAATAGAGGATCAACATCTTTCAAGGTGCCGAGTGCTCCACGTCCGCGGCTAACTTCGACTTGACCGAGACGCGAGTGTTGCATGTTACTTGAGCAAACAGGTGAGCAAATCAATGCATATAAAACAAATCAATGTTATATAGTTCAACATGATGAAAAGTTACAATATGATCTGTATGTTATTCTCTAATGTTAATCTAGGAGTCTCATACAGGCAACAAACAACCTAACTAACAACATTCAACACGGACAAATGCCGTTTAGTCTGATAGTGAAACTTTTAGAGCATAGCAAGTGAAGCAGCGCTGCGTTACCTCAAGTTTAATTCCTCTAATAAACTGACCTGTGTGAGTAATTCAGCGTGTAGTTCGGTAGAATTCAATGTCCTTATTTATCCGCGGACTCGCGTTGCGTGTGGCACTCGTATAACTTAAGTCTAGCAATCGCGCCCTGCTTCATTCTAGTCATGTTAAAAACATCACTGTATTCACTCATCCATAAAAGCTTCATCAGCTTGACGACAAGATCCATAATTCCGCTTAATGCGGAAATATACATAATTAATATAGGCCTTTGTTATTGTAAGAGGTTAGAGACACCTGGTGGCGAAACAATCTTGCATATTGTACCTTTAAAGGGAAACTCCACTTTTTTGGAAATAGGCTCATTTTACAACTCCCCCAGAGTTGAACAGTTGGGTTTTACTGTTTTCGAATCCATTCAGCTGATTTTCTGATATTTAGAAGAAAATCGTAACCAGACAGTTTCTGGTCTCATTGACTTCCATATTTAGAAGAATATCGGTAACCAGACAGTTTCTGGTCTCATTGACTTCCATAGTATATTTTTTTCCTACTATGGAAGTCAATGGGACCAAAAACTGTCTGGTTACTGATATTCTTCTAAATATCAGAAAATCAACTGAATGGATTAGAAAACGGTAAAACTCAACTGTTTAACTCTGAGGGAGTTGTAAAATGAGCCTATTTCCAAAAAAATTGGAGTATCCCTTTAAGTTCTGAACTATTATTCTCTCGTACTTGTATATGTTTCACTGACATTACAAGGTGAAACTATGAGATTTATTAAAAGTTTAAAAATAGATAAATAGATACATAAAACAAATTATAACAAGCTATTGTTATCGTTCAGTCAACAACAAATCAGGTAAGCACCATTTTGGTGGAAAAGGCATACCAGACCACAAGACCAAGCTAAAGGTTTGTGATTATTAAACTTATTTTAGAGTCATTTACTTATTACGTCCGACTGAAAACTGTGCGTCCACATAATAAATGCACATGAAACATTTCATCTCAAACTAACAAAGTCAGCTAATGGACTACTCCTGAGAGGATCATGTTTAAATGCATGACAATGCATACTTATAAGTCATAAAATTCAAATGGTTACATCTCATTAGAACCTCACGCCAAAATCTACTGGGAGGAGCAATATCTGCCTCTATCTTTTTCATTTCAGTCAAAGACTCTGCCATGGCTACAGGTCAATCACACATCCGCAATCAAAGCAAATGTAGTGAATTTCAAGCAGGCATTATGTCGTTTAGATTCAAAGCTGCATTGCTTGCAAATCCAACCATGAGCCATTTAGCCAAAAGGTTATTATACGCGCCTTATTGTAGAATGCCCTGACGACATATAAAAACCACGCACCATCTACACGCCGCAATCACTGATATCGACATTTCGGAAAGCAGAGCCAGGAGAGTGTGTGTGTGTGCGTGAGGGGACGTGACTGAGTGAACTGGCGAACTGACCATGAATGCAAACGAGGGAGGGCATGAATGGCCAATGCGGCAGTAGAGAGGAAATAGGAAGCCATGAAATAAACCCTCACAGATGTTCACACTAGCGCCGCCTGCCACAGCTGCACAGGTGACATTTCTCCGGCTGAAAAAAGATGAGGCAGACACTGAACTCATTCACCCTGGGCCAAAAACACACACATACACAAACAAGCACCCCGCATGCAATAATACACCCTTCGCTTGCGCCTCTCGCTCGCTCGCTCTCCCACCACAGCTCTGAAACGGCCACTGTGTGCACTTTCCAAATAAGTCACAGTGATTTCTGCAAGCGAACGGCTGTGGAATTTTAACATGGATGCGAGGTGCAGCAGACAGTTACCCTTGCTGGTGTCATTGTTTGAGGTTTGGAATATGCATGAGTCACATGTTAAATATACAAATAGCCTGCATTTACAGAGAGCTGACAGCACTAATCATACTGTTCCTGTGGATGACACCTCAATGTCTGACAGCAGACAAATAAATATCAGGCGCTGCTTCATTTCACAATGAATGATCAACTGAGATACAAATTAGCAAACTGTATCACTGCAGCAAACATCCCAAGTGAAAAAAAACTGGAATTTATTTCATATTAAGTACAAATTCACCTATTTACTGGCATATCACTTGCGACTTACACATCATAATTAAACTTTATTTTGAGTGGGCCTACTTTGCACAATTCACATCGCTGAATATAGGCTATAATAAGGACATTATGATCACTGTATAATATCAGTCTTTAAATGTAAGATATTTAAGGTTTACCTACAGTATACTTGCAATAGTTCCATTTTAGCACAATCAAATTTAATTGACCCTTCGCTAAGCCCCGCCCCTCCCTAGTTACTGTTGCTACGCCTGTCAAGCTTTCGCGGCTGGCACATCTATTATGGTGTAGATGCACCGGTGTCAGACATTCCCAACGAGATAATTAGTAAATTAACTACAATAAATAAACTACAGTATAAAGGGCCAACAAAGTTGCTTATGACCAACATATCAACACGGCAAACCCTACGATTCCTCACAAACATGTCATCTGACATCTTCTGCCACTGTAGCTCATACATGTAAAATGATGCACAGTAAGAATCAGTATGCAGTGCAGCCAAATTCAAAAGGCTCCAGTATTGGAATTAATCTGCCATGTCAGCACTTGATTTAAGCGTACAGCGGCGTTGTGCTACTATTAATATGCGACCGAGAGCCTTTTGGATATTGACCCCCAGGCAATGATTACTGAGCTGTGAATCATGATAGTTTACATATTGTTTTAATGGATCGTATTAAATTCATCATCTAATAAAATGCAAACACTCATCGTGGAGGAGATAATATATTTCCAGCGATGCTGAACCATGCCCATAAATAATAAATCAGGCAAAATGTGATGTTCAAACAGAATGAGAGAGAGGAACATGACATGACTAAAGCCTTGAGCTACCCCAAATGTGCCTCTATAGTTTGGCACCATGGAAGACATCTCCATTAGTGTAATGGAAATGATGGTGGTGCCAGGTGAAATATTACTCTGTTTATTAGACACAGCAGGGCATGCAGATTTCAGAGCAGGCCGATGGGTTTCTTTTGAATGCTGGTCAATACAAAGGCTCATAATATTGAGTGTAAGCTTCTCTTTATTATTTTAAACACTCTTATGAAATCGCTCGACGAGCAGTGTTGTCCTGTGTTCCTAATAAAACAGGAAGTTTTGGAGGGACATATCGATTGATAGTCCCTTTTATTTGTAAATAGCCGAAGGCTTTTGATATGTCACAGTCATGAACTACTATATGCTACTTGAATGTTGCAGGTGGGATTGGATGCAGGACATACTGTATCTATTCTGGAGAGAATTTCATTGGGCGAAAATGTCGCCATTTTCGTAGAAGGACCATGTTGTCAACTTGCCTATGGATGACCTTAAAGATTACAGACATCGATTAAATGGCACAACACTCTCATTTTGATTTCATGAGGTCTGCAATACTTTGACAGACAGTAACATACTAACCAAAAACCAAATCATGACCCATTATTGTCCAATGTACGACAAGAACAACATGTTGTCTCTAACAAGGAGGATGGCAATAACATGTTCTAATGGAAACAAGGGCTACAGAATTACATTGCTCATTTCTGCAGCTTGAGCATAAAGTCTGTATTTGTTGGGTCTACCACACGTATTACTCACAGCAGCAGGCAGTCATGAGTGGCAAGAGACAGTCACATCCTCCTCCACTCCTCACAGATCTGATTTACTGCTGATATTAGAAATGAATATGAAATCAAGCCACGATTAGTCCTACTCCACCCCCAAAAGCAGACATCCATTAAAAGCGAGGAGGAGGGGAAGAGAGCACAGTGAGATCTATCTATTTATCTGTCCATCTATCTATCTAACAGACAGACAGACAGACAGACAGACAGACAGACAGACAGACAGACAGACAGACAGACAGACAGACAGACAGACAGACAGACAGACAGACAGACAGACAGATAGATAGATAGATAGATAGATAGATAGATAGATAGATAGATAGATAGATAGATAGATAGATAGATAGATAGATAGATAGATAGACCGATAGATAGACCGATAGATAGAGACAGGCAGACAGAAAGAGGCAGATAGATAGAAAGATAGATATACAGACAGACAGACAGACAGACAGACAGACAGACAGACAGAAAGATAGACAGAAAGATAGATAGATAGATAGATAGATAGATAGATAGATAGATAGATAGATAGATAGATAGATAGATAGATAGATAGATAGATAGATAGATAGATAGATAGATAGATAGATAGATAGATAGATGTCTCACCGTTGACTGTGAGGTGAACCCAGCTGCCGTTGTGGAAGGTGTCATATTGTTGTTCCAGCATGAGGACCCTGCACTCATACCAGCCCTGGTCTTCTGAGCGCACCTGGTCGATCTGCAGAGACGCTTTGCCATGCAGGCTGGTTCTACCTGAAAGAGCACAGGAACAGAGGAGAGAAGACTGAGACTGGTGCAACAAATTTTTTCACATCTTTTCTTTTCTTTTTTTTCTTTCTTTTTTTTTGATAATGGATCAAGGGCGTCATTAGGCCCTTTTTAGTTGGGCCTCAGCCCTGAATAAACTGTACAAAAATTCATGATCGCCTAAATCTCCATTGAAAATCGTAAAACCGACAGCAGGTTTCGGCTCCTCCTCGTCTTTTTGTCTGCGTGATTTAGCGTGTTCTTCAATCCGCAGCAGCACGGCGCCAACGTCAGAAACCGCATTTACTGATAGATTGTTATGATAACTGCATCTGTGCAGTTCTTTGTCATGAATGCAGTTTTTACAACATTTTTATGTGAATTGTTTAATTAATTATTAAAATTAATATTGGTATTAGTTCTAATTTAATTTAACTAAAATAACACTAACATGTTGTGAATAAGTCCTAAAGACTTTCAATTAAAAAAAAATACAAAGAGACAAAAAGCCTCATTTATTAAAGCAAGAGGACTGAATAAATTGAACAAACTACAGTATTCAATTCAAAGTTAAATGGTTTTATGAACATTTCACACCGACATTCATTCTTGAGTTGCAAGAAAAAGCCCTTTGTAATGTGTCACACTTTGTAATAACATGAAGCATGTTGGATCTGAAAAAAAAAACCTGCAAAAACAGACAGCGGCACCAGTTAATGACAATTTAACAAATGCACTGACGTTAACAAACAAGCTAAATGAATTGCAAGGTCTATAGTCTGCCTTTTTTTAAACGATTCTTATTCTCCTGTCCATGCATTCTGTGCACACTGCTGAAACAGGAAATTTACGTTTTAATTAGCTGTCTGTGTAATAATGTTTGGCGGAGATTATTATTTGTTATCTCCATGAAATAAAGCCCAGTACTGCCATTGTGATTACAGTTAATCACGCCAGCATGTAAAAAGAAAAAAAAAACGTTGAGATGAATTAAAAAAAATAGTAACTCTGAAAGTTATAAAGCTAGCTTAAAGTCACATCATATAGCAACTTTTTCAAGGTTTCACCAATGGCGTTTTGCTATTCACATACGTAGTAAGCCAACATGTGGAGCAATGTATAACATTACTAGCAAAGCGATATTCACTTGATTTCAGCCACTCCTACACAATCAAATGAAAAGTGTACTGTGCCTTAAATAGAAAAGAACAAAGTATCACAGCTCACATCTGAGTGTTACACTCTGTACTAAGAGGCTTAGCAACACTGACGATACAAATAGCCATGGAAAATGAGAGAAATATAGGCAGTCAAGCATCTCTCTGACTGAACTAAGCCATTCCAGAGCTAGCCAACAGGAAGATATAATCTCGCAATTGCCTATTTGAGGACTTTAGCTGGGATTTAATGTTTTTGAAAGTTCAGGGCACTGTTCACTGGGCCGAAATTGCCTGAGTGTCTCAGACTCACATATTTACGTTCCGGCTGGCCTTCATACTTCATACTGCTGTGTACTGAGCAGCAGATATCATAGCCCTGGGATCCCAGCTGCACCTGAGAGAGGAGACAGCAGGTTTCCAGAGCAGAAAATCAATACGGCACCGGGCAGAGGAGGCTGCGGTCTTGCCGTAAAAAAAAAAACGGCCTTCAAAATCACAGCTATTTTCGTGTAGAGTGATAAAGCACTGATGGGATCGGAAGTTAGGGAGCATCTTCACACTGAATGTAACATAAAATAAAAGGCCTTCTTTGCTAGAAGGGGTGCATTATCTTTCCCACTATAGCCGTAAATGGAGTGTTCTGTGCAAGTCAACTTAAACTTCATGTGCTCTCTACTGATCAGATAACTCTTCGATAGTTATTCTAGACTCATCTGATGGTTGTTCAGGCCACATATGTGAACTGTAATCCTCACAAATGGATCTGTGTTTGCATATGGAAATGTGGGAACCCCAATAAACAATAGAGCACATAACTCCTGCTGCCACTAGCAATGTTAGCCATTTCATCTCTGGTGTTTATCTATATTTTAGTTTTCAACATTTAAAATAATACGAAATGTTTTTTTGAGCAGGAAAACAGCATATTAGAATAAGTTCTGAAGGATCATGTGACACTGAAGACTGGATTAATGATGCTGGAAAAAAAATCTTAGTTGCAGCGTTGGTCTTATAGGCTTGAATGCAGCGAAAACACACAAAAACATCTAAAATGGGAACGACCAGTGCATTTGACTGTAAAAATAATCGTTTAATTTAGTAAAACAATCGTTTTACAGACTGCTGAAAGCTACAGGAAAGAGAAGCAAATGGATCGCCTGGAATCCAGGCAGAGAAACGTGTTTTTATAGTTACTGTTTTGTGTCGGAGATAAGTTGAATTTTGGGGTAAAATCATACCATGGTTTATATATTGTATTGACAACTCATCAATTAAATATTTACCATTATGTAACCAAGTTTTTTTGGCAGCATTTATTAAAAAAAACATTATGAGGAGGAGCCTTGTAATCAACAAAGGATGGATGGTTAGATAGTGTTAGACAAACCTATTTTCCTTACAAGTTTTGGATGGATGGATGGATGGATGGATGGATAGTTTACAAGCTGCTTCACAGAAAGTCATAATGCTATGTCTATAATGCCTAAAAAGTTTAAGGCTGGGCGATATGACAATATATAAATCATACACATTTTAGATCTACCTATATTAATAGTTTTGTCAAGCAGATAAAGCATTCAGAGGCTTTGATAAACGTCAGAAAGTCCAATTCCTGGCCACATGTCAATGTACATGGACCACTGGGTCTTTGGCGAGTTGTAAGTAACACTGTCAAGTCCAACTGATTTTAATTTAAGAACATAGTTGTTTGTTTTACTCCCATTAATGCAAATTCCCCTACTAAAGCCAGTCATGTTGCAGGATGTTTTGTTAGGCTGAGGGGGAGTTCCGGTGGGAAAGTGATGTCAATGCATATCCTCTATAATATGAGATATATACGAGCTCACCTCAGGAGATCCCATTTTATAAATTGCACTCTATGCTCAGAGCGCACAGGGGTCTTCATTAAGCAAACTTGTTAGGCGCTTAATTACCCAAAATCTTCCTGCAGGTCTCTTGCCAGCAATGAGTGCACTGCGTTTTAGGGGCCCGTAAACAGGCCCGTCCTGAATGAATTCAATCTGCCTCTAGCTAAGAATCACTCTAGGAGAGCCTGTGTAAATCACATCTAAACTGCTGCAATGATTGCTGCATAGATTGTCCGTCTGCAAGACAATGAGGACTTTAATACGGTAAATTGATTGAGGAATCAGACCTGGAGCTCTGGCAGTAGCCAAGAGGGAGAGAGTTTGGGAATTTCTGCTGCAGAAAATTGCATTGTGAGTTACAGTAATAGCCTTTTGGAGTTCAGTGGTAATTGTGTGCGGGTCCAGCCAAACTGTGAGACTAAAGCCTTGTGGCGTAGAGGAACAATACAGAATGAGCTGCCATGGCGACTCTATAGTACCCACAGGAGACAATGATATATACAGTGGAACTGAACAACATTAGATCTCATATCTAATTTAAAATGGAATGAGGCCACAACCAAATAGTGGAAGGATAGTCAATTCACTTCCCCTTCCTCTCCCTTACAAAAAATCAATTATTTATTTTATGGGTGGGAAGGATTTATGAGACACTGTAATATAACGATGTAAAATACAAGTTCGTTTCTGGGCATCCTTTTGAGTGTTGACTTTTCATTCAAAGAGAGGGATATAGAGGGGGTTTAAAACAGGGTTGCCCAAATCTACCGTCCTGCAAAGTTCAGCTCCAACCCTGATCAAACACACTTCAACCAGCTAATAGGCCGAACGTCACATGAACAAACAGGAAAAAAGGACTCATTTTACCCACTTGTCAGGAAAAGTGTTAATGGCTGTACCAACTGGTGATATCTATGGACTTATGGACTTCAGGTAATCAGGTAACTTAGCTAGTTATTTTTATTGTTTACGTTTTATTTCGATTAAAATATATATGTTATTGAGAAGAAGAAAAATAAAAAACACTTTTAGATATCAATTTGCATATGCGATGGACATCGGTTGAGTCACTCAATTTAAAGTGTCAAGAGACACTTGAGTAAATCGTCTCTATATTTAATGAAGCACATGCAAATACCTGTTTAAAGAATGAGAAAGTTTGTTGCCATCTATGCAGCCATTTGTAGTGGTGTCCGAAACTACTGCACTCATTCAATCCCACAATGCACCGCAATTACAACCTGTAACAACAATCCCATTCGTTCAAATTGGATAGGATAATCAAACTGACAGTTTGGGGAGACCCGATATGTCATGACAACGGCAGTTTGACTCAATGAGCAATCCAGTCATTATACAGATCAGTGAATAAAAGACATCAAATCTATATTTTTTAAAGATGTAGTACGTACTTATTGATAGTTAGTGGTTAAAATGGGCACTGCAGTCTAAATTTAAAATACTGGAGTGGGTTGTTTTCCCCGCCCCCTCCCCCACAGGCTTGACACTCACGCGGGTTGCCAGATTGAGGACACGCAAAGTGGACAAGTGCAAATAACAATGGAATGCGACAAACCTTCAAGTTGATCAGTTCACTTAACCACATTTTAATACGCCTCTGGAGAGCTTTTTAGATGGATGTCGAGGCTTTTTAGGTGGGTTACAATACTGCGATCTTTGAACCAGTTCGTTGGCTAGCTTATATGGTGTGATTACACAGACCAAAACAAAAACAGACATTCCCACACGGAAAGCATATTTCAAAGTACAACAGCTGTCCATAGCGTTGTTTTTTTTTATTTTTTCGGAGAAACTATTTTGTGAACTTTTGCTTTAAATATGCAGTTTAACATAATGACTACTTTCCTTAATATTTGTATTTTATATCAAGTAAAGTTTTACTTTACTATTTGTTTTAATGCTAATTACAGAGTATCATAACATAATAACAAGTTGAGTCTCCTGTGCGCTAATGTGAGGAGCGTTTTGTGTAGCTGTCCATAAACAGCATTCCAAATCATTAAACTAATGAGATTTCAGTGCCGTTAGGATGCTCCCTCAGAAGGTGTGTAGGCCATAGACAGGGTGGCAACTAAATATGTTTTAAAAACCGAGCTTTTTTTAATGTAGAAAGCAACAGAAGTTTCCAATTTAAAAGGGTGTGACAGCAGTTAAGTGATCAAATAATCTCAAACAATCACAGAAATGTCTCACGCAGCTCTGTGCCCAGTGTCATGGAGAGTGTGTGCTTTATGGGTTTCAGTCACGTGACTTTTTTGTTGCGGCCGCCATCTTTAGGACCTTTGCGTAGCTTCTCCTGATCGGAAAGATGTCGCACACTGACTGACACGAACAGCACACCTCATACAGATGAAAAGGTATTTCAACGGTATTTAAATAAAATTGATACTTAAGGTTTAGATCCGTGTTTACTTTCTACCTCGTCCACAATCCCTATCCATTCACCGGAAGGCATTTAAAAGCACTGAAGCCTACCGCTACTTCACCTCAGGATGGGTTAATGATCCCGGAATCTATCATCTGGAGATGAAGAAAATGTTCTTGATAACAGGAAGGGTAAGTGGCACTCTTTTACTTGCTGAACATAAAAGTATTGTTGATATAAATTGACCGTTCGCAAAGACCCGCCCCCCGCCATGTCCGATAAGCTCATTTATTTTTAGCACTCACAATATTTTAAAACATCTTTACTGAAAATGCATATGTACATTACATTTTAGAGTGTCAAAGTTATGAATTTCAGAAATGTAGACAAATCACTGTCTATTAATTTAAGGCAGAAACATTGAGCACAGCACATTCAGCCATATGTATAACTAAGGTTACTAATGTAAATATAGATAGCTGTCTAGAATGACGTTATACGTGTTCCAATTGTAAAAAATGTTTTATCAAGCTAATCTGTAATTTGCTAATTTTACTTTTATTTACATTTTCAGGTGAAGCGTTCACAAAGCCTCAGTTTAACACCAACATACCACTGGATAACAGTACAGGAAGATGGGACAGTTCTCAGATATTTTGAAGAATGTCATTAAACAAACAGTAAACTGGAACCATTGACTTCCATAGTAGGAAAAAAAATTACCATGGAAGTCAATGGTTCCAGTTTGGTTACTGACATTCTTCAAAATATCTTCCTTTGTGTTCTCCTGTAGAAAGAAATGCATGCAGGTTTGAAACAACTTGAGAGTGAGAATGATGACAGAATTTTCATTTTAAAGTGAACTATTCCTTTAATGTAGTTCATATCTTCATTAAGTGTTAGTTTACAATCAGTAGTTTAAAATGCCTTTTTCAATAACATTCGGTTAAGTTACTATTTGTGAGCCGGGCACAGGGTTTCTGGTAGGAATAAATATTTGCACAGTAGAAATGCAGTTTGAATCTACAACCTAATTACCCATGTGGTTTATAATGTATATGGGATTTTTTATGAATGATTTGATTATTACGAATGATTAACAATAAACAGAATGAGAACAGAATTTTACTGTCACCTTTTTTTATTGCAAATATAAAACAGACTTGTATCAAAACAAACATCAGTTCATATAGTTATGTGTTACACTGGGTACACAATGTTATGTAGTCTCTATTCTGAGGGCACAACAGATGGGCAAATGTTACACAAAGGGAGTCAGCCCAGGTCCCCCCTTTAGGAATCCTGACAAGAAGGTGAAGACTACCATCATCTTGGAATAGGATGGAAGTCCAGTTAAGTCCTGGACCATCTCATCATTGTCTTTTGAACACCTCCTGCTGGAAAGATAACTTGCTTACCCTGTCCCTAAGTTGATAGACCTCTGCCCTCAGTCTGGTACACTCTTCTGTCAGTTTCTTCACAGTTTCTCGACAGGCTTCATCGGAGCATGCTACACTGCTCTCAGTATGGATAGGGTCTTTACAGTAGCTGTGTTCCCCACTCTGCCCGCTCTCAGGAAAGCTGTCACTGTGGTCCATCTCATTGCCAGTATATTTACCATGGGGTAACATTGACACATCACTGGTACAACTTCTCTTTCTCTTGACAGCTTGTGTTTGCTCAAATTTCTTGTAGCAATTGGTTTTTCTTTGTCGTTGCTCAGGTGACAGGTAGGCAAACAGATTTGGCACATAATCGCCCAGGTGAAAAAGACGTTGTATTAAATGTATTAAAAATATATTTGAAATACAAATAGTGTGTTTATAATACATTTGTATTTACAACATGCTTATTTAAAGTGTACTAAAAATGTATTTTATTGCATTTTAGTATATTTCTAAAAAGTATACTAGAAGTACATTGGTAATAAATATATATTTAATTACACTTTTAAGAAATATACTATAGAAAAGCATACTTTTAATGTATTTTATAAAAGTATATTAGTAATATATTGGTAATAAATGTATGCTTTTATTATATTTTTAATAAATATGCTAATGATAATTATACTTTAAATGTATTTCTAAAAAGTATATTAGAAGTACATTGGTAATAAATATATGTTTAAATACACTTTTAAGAAATACACTATAGAAAAGCATACTTTTAATGTATTTCTAAAAAAGTATATTATTAGTACATTGGTAATAAATGGTTGCTTAATTATATTTTTTAATAAATATGCTAATGACAATCATGCTTTAAATATGTTTCTAAAAAGTGTACTAGAAGTACATTGGTATTTAATTACATTTTTAAGAAATATGCTAAATACAAACATATTTTAATTATATTTAAAATGTTTTACTAGAAACGCAATGATAATAAATATACACTTAATTACACTTTTAGAAATATGCTAAAAACAAACATAGTTTTAGTGAAGTTTTAGTGTATTTACAGAAAGCATACTTGTTGCTAAATTAAAGTATTTTTGTGTTCACTTCAAGTTTAAAAATTCAAGTCCCTTTAATTCCCTTCCTAACATGAAGGCAATTAAACATGTATCGAAATTAATTGTATATTTCTACAAATACTAGAAGTA